TATGCCAATAACAGACAGATCAATTGCATTCTCAAGTATCAATGGAAAGATTTAAGTAAACAATACCAAGTGAATTTAAAATTCAACCCGATTTCACAAGCTACTGGCTATCAGGACTCAATAACTAAGTGAATAACGCGATGGGATTTGAAGCGTACAGTACTGAGCTTGTATCGCAAAGTGAACGTTAACTCTGAGATTCAGGTACATCCCAAATAGGACAAAACGCACATCCTGGATTCCACTACTAATCACTATCTATCTTTACTGATAATAAATAGATCATTTTACTTTTTTATAATACTATAGCATATATATGTATTATAATAATACTGACAACATAAAAGATACAGTGTATTCAATTTCACCTAAACACACACACAGAACAATTTAATTAAACCGGTTATTAAATTAATTATAAAATTGATTTTACTTTTTCTTTTTTTTGTTGCCTATAACAACACACTGAGAAATTTGCATTCTTTGAAGAAAAAAAGAAGAAAAAGAAGAAAACGAAAAAAGAGAAAGAAAAACATGAGCTTATATATTTCCATTATGAATTATGATAAACGTTTTCTTTTTTCTCTAAATGTTTTGATCGTGTCTATTTTCTTTCAAAAGGTTACATGTCCACATGGTTAAGTTCAGATTACATAATGAAAAGGTAAAGATTGTTTTCTCATAAAAAAAACAACAACACAAAACTGAATTACATTTAAACAAAACAACATAGAAACTAATACACTGGTAAGATGATCACTTGAACACATTGAATCGTCACGTTCATCCGAAATCATGGTAAGTGTAGTAAAGTAGTGGGTAGAAAAGCAAAGATGTATGATCTTTGGGTAACAAACAGACACACGCACACGCACACACACATACGCAGAGAGAAACAATGAAGAAGAAGAAGAAGGATGTTAGTCGTCAAATTCTTATAGAATTGACATTGTTTCATTATTTTTTATATTATCATGCATAGATTTGATTATGTAATAAGAACATTTACCTAGAATGGATATTTTGATATTGAAATGTAAACATAAAATGAATGTTGAAATATTAATTTATATTTCTTATATGATTGATCATAATTGTTCATATCCCATGATGTATTATTAAACCATGTTTGATTACCAACAGTATATTCATTATTGATTGTTGATGAAGTTACAGATGATGATGGAACTGCTGATTTATGTCCTGATGATATAGTCGTTGATAAAGATTCCACTGTTGATGATGTCGATGATGATGATGGTGATGATGACAACAGTTTAGAATCATTTTCATAACATGATACTCGGAAAAACAAATAATATAACTGACCAGGTTCATCATATTTTGTTTGTTGATATGTTAAATTTGTTGCCGCTTCAATATGTGCACTTAATAGTGTACGCTCACGTGTTTGATTTGTACTATTTTTAGCCCAGTTCGGTGTTAAGTAAACAACTCCATCTTCTGTACGATGATGAACTGGTGTATTTGGTGCTTTGTCTAAAAGATGATAGTGACAATTCGATTGCTGAACCTGAAGTGTTTATACAAAAATGTAAAAGAAAAATATAAGTAAATACTCATAGATTTAATAAAATGGAATACATTTAAGTAGAAAAAGTGAGATTAAACGCTATAACTACATTTTTGGTACTTCGTCAATTGTTTAAGATTCCTCTGTGTTGACATTTTGTGTATAAGTAGAGAGTCATTCTACCAGTGTTAGCATATTGTGCACTACTTATGTGGACAGACACAAGTAGTACGTGACTAGAATCGGGAGTAGGATGCTTACCAGTATTAAAGTGAAATAAGGAGAAGAGGAAGGAGAACTAAGAGCAATCCGAATAACAATAGGATGGGTAGAATGATGAATTATGTAAAGGACAACTGAAGGAGGATATGCAAATGCTATATTTAATGCATAGTTTTCATATTTTACAAAGATACCGTTTGATTTTGCATAAAACACTATACTATTTTACCCTGACCTGGGTTTTCGTTCACTATATTAGTGGTGGTATTAGTGTGGTATATGCTACTTATGTCTGTATACACAAGTAGTATGTAACACCAACCAGAAGAGGAATGGATGGCAGCAGAAGGCTATGTGAGTTGATTTGAAGAAAACAAAAACGGAAATAGAAATGGATTGTGAATTGAAAGAATCATATAGTGTAAACGACGAATGATAGAAATTCACAAATGAAATATTCGGTGTGTGGTTTTCATATTTTATCAAGAGACTCTGTAATTGTACATTTAAATACAATCGCTTGTCTCCTACCTGTGTTCTTGTTCATTACAGTAGTAGTTGTTGTTGTTGTAGTAATAAAATTTGTTTTGTTTTCACTGCCATGTTTTCATTTATGTACTTTTTTTCCAAGTAGATATCATTTAATTTACTAAAGTTAAGACTAAATTTCCCCGTTATTCATTAGTTCCTCTTCTAGGAGAAAAAGATACAGGCAGTTATCAATACGAACAGACTGTCTATTCAGTTTGGTTCCATAAATCCCTGTATATACGTATATTCTCAAAACAACTGACAACCAATATCAATGTCATAATCTTCTATACGAACGTCAAGACAGTCACTTATACTGTACGGAGCTGAAAAATCCACAACTACCACAAACATCATCAAAAAGATACAAACATTTATAAACAGTTGTCCATGCGAGGTACTATTCAATGTTCGTTGTTGACCGGTAGCCTACTGTGGGAAATGACAAACAGCTTCCAGATGAGGAGGAAATTAGGAAGAGTCTATGGTGTTGACGGATCGGACATACACAGTAAGGAAATCGTCAAACTGCATCACAAACCAACCGCTTACTATCTGGAATCGAACATAACTACCTCATTTATCACTATCTAAACTGATTATAATCCAAATAGATCAGAGAATAAATAATAATAATAAATCCCAGATACATGTCATTCACATACTACACTTGAAATAACAATCAAAAAGATTGTCATTTTAAATGAATCATTTGAAGAAACCTTCCACAATGAAAAACATGAACACATTTCTGTTAAGTCAATTACAATGAAGAAAGAAAGAAAAAAATAATCACCATAACAACTCCATACCAGAAATTCTATGTCTATTTGATCAATGGTGTTCTTTTCTTTCTTTTTAAAACTTGTCATTTTCAGAATAAGAATTACTAAATAGTTCATTGATATTCATTCGTTATTTTTAGAAATTTAGAGATTTATTATTATTATTATTAGATCGATAATTATAAATACCAATTAAGAACTATGGGTCACGGTTAGGGATATATATTCCATTTCAGTATAGGAATTTGATCAGCCCTAATAGGTTGGTGCGCGGCAGTTTATTCTGTTTTTCTTAACGGTTGCGAAATGTGGACATTAAGAGTAGGAGATACTTGTAAGTTACTAGTATTTGATCATAGATGTCTTAAAAACATTGCTGGCATCCTCTAAGATCATTGGGTAAGTAATAGTGGATTTAGATGCAGGGTATTAGGGAATGATGGTAAATCAGTTGATGTGTTTGTGAATCTTGATCGAACGAGATGGTTGTGTCACGTGCTGCGCATGCCTGAATACTGACTACCATGACGCGCAATGCTGAATAGTGTTGGGGATGATAGAAAGAAATTTAGGGGTGGTAAACCAAGACGTGGTATCAGTCACTGAATTCACAAACTTCTAGTTTGAGCCATGTTGGTAGATGCAGAATACTTGGTTAGGGTCCGCGTGACTAGCGTAACCAATGGTTGTAAACTGTGGGTGACATGGCTCAGAATTGACAACAATGGCATCGGTGTATACACTTTCTGTTTTCTTTTAGACTATGAGATTAAAATCGCTTCATATCTTTCTTCCTGTATTATATCTTTCGACACAATCTTTCTTTCATATATTATTATCATTAAATTGACTACTCATATGAATTTGGTGTTCATCTTGTTATGTTAATGAGGTATTTCAATTTGGACCGATGCATATATGTGCTTAGTCCTACGTTGTAACTGACTGACTGAGGGATCTAAGATAGACTACCATTGAAAACCTGGACGCATTGGATGACTGTTTCGTCCTAATATGGGACTTCTCGCCAGTTTGTATCCACGATTGTACGTTGAATACCAATTCATTAGTCCAGAGGTTAACCGTTCGCTCTTGAAAGCGAAAGTCTAAGGTCGAATCCTGTGTACAGAATCAATAGATGCGCACTATTGAGGTGTCGTATACTAGGACGAAACAGCTATCCAGTGCTTCTAGGTTTCCAATAGTTGTCTCAGTTTAAATCAACTCATGAATTTAACTGTGGAAATATTTTCCATCTATTCAAGTTATAAATAACTTTTACATTTCTAAACAACGGTAATGATTTCAAATGACAGATAGATGGTTTTATTTAAACTTACATCATTTTATGTAAAACTAACTATTGATTATAGTCTTTAGATCAGTTTAGTATTGATCTAATGAAAAATACTCATTCGGTTTAACTATACAGAACCGATATAAACATCATTTATGTAGAAACAATGTGTTGGGAAGTCTAGTTAACATCTAATTGATTAAATAGAAATTGTTTTAAGAATCATTTGTTTAATTCAATAACTTGTACTACATACAATATAATTATAATATCACTGTCCTTGTAAATGAGCCTCACGAGGCTAATGCCCCTTCTGATAACCAGAGCAAGCATTAATTTAGATACATGGAATGCTCGTACAATGTGGGAGACCGGAAGAGTCTTCCAAATTGCTGCAGAGATAGGTGGTTTACAAAAATATTGACTCATCAATATAAATAAGAAAACAAGGGGTTTTTTTCTAATTGAGGATTATAGTTTATGTATTTTGTTTGACTTCATGTTACTTTCTACTACGGAATGAAATCAGTTATCAAATTAGTAAAAGCTAAGCAGCACTAAATACTTGTCTTATGCTTCTTTGAGTCATCTCACTCGTGTGCACTTATGATCCGATAAAAAAACTTGTTCATATCAGAGTAAAAAACAAATTACCTATGATGATGGTTACGTACTGTGGTGTACGCTACTTATATCTGTAGACATAAGTATTATGTAATACCAGTCAGTAGTGGAAGCAGTAAGTTGATAAGATAGAATTGATGAGAACAGGAATGTAACAAGAGAGTAGTTGTAATAACAACAGGAATGAAGGAACGATGAAGTTTGTAAGAGACCGTTTTTGGAAGATGTGCAAATGAAGTATTTAATGTATGGTTTTCAGATCTTAGCAAATCACTCTGTAATAATGCGTTAAACAATAAAATGCTTATCCTCACTTAAGTGTTCGTTCACAACAGTACTACTACAGTCAAAGTACTGTGCTTGCCAATATTACCATTACCACTGGGATCAAGATCTATCTGTTCTGCATTCAAAGAAAAGTGAGCTTTCTAAAACGATTGTCGGAGAACATAATAGAGACTTCGTAATTAAACCACTTAGTTCACGTAAAGTAATATTACAATAATATGCAAACTAATGTCATCATATGGAATATACTTGTATTTTAATAGTAATTATTAAATATATCATTATACATGTAAGTTAAACCACCACCATTGAAAACCTGGTGGCACTGGATGGCCATTTTTTAGTGTCAGAAATGGGTCGTTCAGTGGTTCAAGGTTTTCACTGGTGCTCTAACTTGGTTTGGTTCATGACTGAGATGGAATTCAACAGTCTCCACAACCCCGTACTGACACTGAAATATTTACAATCATTTATTTGAATAAACTGAATCTGTAAAATCTATCTCACTTACTTGATGCCAGTCAACAACACGAAGCATTATCCTTGAACCCGTCACACGGTATGATTCAGGCGATGGAAGACTAACAACTAAATATTCCACAGTATCAGCAAACATAGCACCATGAGGACAATTTAATTTAGAATCACTACATCTTATTCGACAAGATCTAGAAATAATAATAATAAACGAACCATCTTTTTAAAGTAATAAACAAATTTCCATGGATTCTAAGCACAATTAAAAATTAAAGTTCATTTAACTTTAAAAGTTTTAAACAAACAAGGAACAGATCAACCGTCTGAACATCTTTTAACTAGTTACGTAAAGCAACATAACTGATAAAGCGTAAGAAACATTCCATAGCTAGCAACATGAGATAATCTTAGTTATACACCTGTTGAAAACTAGAATACATTAGAACCCCTAAATTCCCTGGTACGGCCGCGAGTGGGGAGCTTTTGTCCTCCCTCCCGCTCTCGAAATACTCTCACATGGTCACAATTATACAGCCACTGCCAGGGAAGTCCTACTTACCGCATTCTCGCGGTGGTGTTTTTTATTGAATTAGGAGAACGAAAAGCGAATGTTTGGTGCTTTAACCAGGCTGATGAAGACAGAGGATCCAGCTAAGTGAGTTGAAAAACCCCAAGTTCGAACCAATAGCACACGTGAGCCCTAGGGTTCTGAGATAACGAATTGCGCATGAATCTATTGTTGGTCACTGGTTACCACGGGACTACATCTCTTAAAGTCGCCTCACTGACTTGTGGAATAGAATTCTAGGTCAGGGTCTCAGGAAGTGGTCTACTAATAAAACCATCTGCTTCTGTTCGAACACTCTGACAGTATCTCAGCCCTCACACAAGTCCAATAATGGAGTGTTGCGCACATAGATTCGGTGCACTTTTCTAACGATGTTTATGTGTTTGAACAAACTATACATTAAATAGCTCTTTCCTATTAGTATTGGACTAGTCGATATTACTCTTGCACTACCCCAACGGGGGATCTAACCTAGGGTTCCTTAACAATTTCATTCTCGTTTTTAATTTCTGAGTAGTGCAGGTAAATGAATCCAGTCAAAATTTAACTCAAGAAATTCATACATTCCTGGAACAGAGAGAAATTTCGACTACCAGACCAAAATTCATCGGTCTACCACATGGAATAATATTAGCTGGTGTAAGTTACTCTCATTCATTTCAAGTAATTAGAATGCGCTACCTCTTTTCATTAATCAGTATATCGATATAACTAATTATAACTAAAGTGATTTTGTCTCGACCGATTGTTGCTACCTTGACGTGGTGGTTGGGCTTGCCTACCGTGATGAAGCGACAGAGCTATACTGACAAGGACAACCGTTCCTCTAGGTCCTACCATGTCAGACAGGTCGGTTGAAGAGCAGTAAGACTAAAAGCAACAAACCCAAGGTCCGAAGGCGAAGTCGTACTGCTAAATGTGCAAAGGTGTGACAGAAGTAAGGTGTTTCCTTCAGACAGCCAGTTAAACAGCGATGCTGCCTTCCCACAAGGAGGGGTGAGGTTAGAAAATTTCGACCCAAAAAATGCACACGTCGCCTTATCCCACAGATTAAAATAGCTTAATATCTTTCTTTCTATGTACTAAATCTTTTTTTTCCTGTATTATGTCCTTAAATGCAATCTTTCTTTTATTTATTACCACCATTGACTTAACTACTTCTATGAATCCGGTGTTCATCTTGCTGTGCTAATGCGGTATGGCAACTTGAAACGATGCATATATGTGCCTAGTCCGACGTTGTAGCTGATTGACTGACTGACTGAAAGTGATTTTGTGACTATTAGATAGTAGGTATTTAATCTCATTTGTTTTACTTTATTTTAAACATTGAACTTACCTAGATTTTTTGTCGTAAACATAATTTTTCGGACATCTTTGTTGTACACATGTGTAATTGCCTGGAAGATTTAAACAAACTTCATCTGATCTACAAGGATTGCCTAAATTGCACTCATCTATATCTGAAATGAGAAAACACACAGAGAAAATGAGTCAGAAAAATAGAAAAAAAGAGTGTAATTGAATTATCCGTAGAGATAAAGTAAGTAAACTAAAAGTGAAGAAATGTGGTAAATAGTTTACTCCTCTAGTGATATGATTTTCCCGTCAACAATTACCTGAAGTCTCACAGTGAAAATCACGAGTAGATCTAAGCTAGAACATCAATGAAAACCTTAAGGCGTTGGATGGCCATTATATCCTAGTATGGGACTCCTCAGCAGTACGTTCGCGCGCAAGAGTGAAGTTCATGGGGTTGATTCTCGCGTGTGAGATCATGGATTTACAATGCTGAGGAGTCCCATACTGGAATAAAACGGCTGTTCAGTGCATCTAGGTTTTCAGTGGTGGTTTATCTTAGGTTGTCTTTTAATTTGAACTGTGAAAATACTACAATCACCACAAATTCCTTATACTAATTACCCTTAATTATTGGCAAAACTATAATTTATCGACGAGCCAATAAAATTTAAGATACCAAGTCATGAGTTTTGGTGAGGAATTCATTAATTCTTAGAGTTTAATAGCTTTTCGGCATCACGATTAATGTCAATTCGCGATGAAAACAATAAGTCTAATTCCAAACACTAAATTTTAACTCTAAGCATCACTTCTAAATTCTGTTAGTCCAGCTATTTAATGTTTTGTGAGTAAGTTCGTTCCAGCACATTACAGTGGTGAATAATAACAATTCGCCCAATAGTGTTCAATAAGACTTTCAGTTTTTTTAAGTAGGTGCATACTCTATTATATATTTTTGAGTCATGATAATGATCCTTCCACAGGTTCACCTACGGAAACCTTGTTATGACTTTTACTTCCTCTAAATATTTAAATTAGGTCATCTCAGCATCAGTCGAACGGCAAAGTCACTACAACGATACCATTCCAACGACCTCACTAAACCATTCAATCGGTAGTAGCAACTGGTGGTGTGGTTAATAATCGGAATTAGAGTGAACATCTCACTGCTAGTCACTATCCATCTTTGCTTATAAAAGCTTGTGAATTAAGGTAATATCAAGGCATACGCACAGTATGCAGATATGCCAATAATAGACTGATTAAATGCAGTCTTAAACCTTAATGGGAAGATACAAGCAAAATAATACCAAGTGAAAGTAATAAACATCTTTTGGTATATTTTAATATTAAGATGAACAATTTCATATAAAGAAGTCAAACTATAATTTATTTAATTTAATACTTAGTTATAAGTGATCTTACCTCTGCATAAATTTGTTTTACGATCTATTTCATAGCCTATTGGACATTCACAACGATAAGCTCCATATGTATTTACACAATTATATTGACATGGACTTGAACCAAATGATGGATTACATTCATCAATATCTATTCAATTTATAAATGAAAAAATATAATAAATCAATGCATATATATATTGTGAATATTTGAAGATGTTTATATCTGGTGAAAGACTAATAATCTAAAACCTCAAGATGGATTTTCTCCAGTTCTTTAGAGAAACTGTGACTAGGGGAGTTTAATCGTGTCTGTTGTAAGGCAGTTTCTCACTGAAGACAACGGTGGACAGTCGCATAATATTGTTGATTGGTTGACGTTAGACATCAACACTTTGAGATGCCGGTTCAGTGGTCTGGAGGTCAAGCGTTCACGTGCGAGACAGAAGATCATGGCTTCGACTCCCATGTGCGGGACCGTGGGTGTGCACCGCTGAGAAGTTCCATATTAGGATGAGACGGCCTTCCAGTGTTGCCAAGTTTTCTGTGATGGTCTAACATGTACCTATTCATGATGTCAATCTAAAATCAACAATCTCCACAACCCTATACTGATAAAGCATACACTACAGTCGATCATGTTGATAACGTTTAAAAAGCATACACAGACTCTGAAAACCGAAATAAATTCATTCAACAGATGGCATGTAGAGATTGGATCGCATTTACTTTTCGAAATAAAGTGAAACAATTAAAATTTGACTCAAGAAGCATAGTTTTTCCTTGGAAGAAGTAAAGTAAACGAAGACTTGGTGGGGAAAACTAATTTATTGTTTAATGCACGATCACACAGTGGTTTGGTAAAATGTGTAAATCATACATCCAATATATCATTTGCACATCTTCTTTCAGTTGTCTTTAACATCCTTTGTGATTCTTCCAATTTTGTTTTGATTCCAATTCTCTTCTGTTCTTTTCAGCTTAAATATTCTTTTGACAAACATTCCACTTCTGATTAGTGTTACATAATACTTACATCTGTCAACATAAGTAGCATACACCGTAGAAGTATACTTGGTTAGTAGCTGAACATTAAATTATTATAAATGTTTAAAAATTCTGTGGAAATGCTGCAGCCTCCACAAATCTTCTTACCGATAATAGTCATGTGTACACTGGTGACTAGCTTCAAGATGTAGCTTCTGAAGTCCTAGTGAGAAGCTGTGATCAGTGGATGTGAGACAATCATCCACCTCAGAAAATGAATGAAGCGTTGTGCAAGATCATAAATCGATTGAAGTTGGACATTAATATCGTTGGGTCCCGACTCTGTGGTCTAAAAGTTAAGTGTTTGCCCGCAAAACCGAGGGTCCCGGGTTTGAGTCTCACGTGCGGGATCGTGAATGCGCGCTGCTGAAAAATCGCATACTAGGAAAAAACGGCCATTCAGTGCTTCTAGTTTTTCAACAGTGCTTTAGCTTATTCTTTTAACTAAAGTCACCATCCACTTGTTCTTGTAAATAATCGTGAGCTTTGAACACGATTATTCAGCTTTATACAAACGCACTTCCTAATTAGTCTTAGTCTTTATCTATCACAAATATCCCTATTCAAGCATAGAAACATGGATTGAATAGTAAATTGGACTATAGATCACACAAATGATTGTTTCCAGGCTTGATGACTTATTTCAAGTTATGAATAAATATGTAATTTTTACCCACCCACCCCCAAATTTACCTATACAGCCTTTTTCTCGATTCCATTGAAATCCTTCATTACAGAACAAATCACGTCGATCTGAAAATTAAGATATTTGTACATTGAATAATGTTTTATCAATAAACAAAATAATTATGCTTTATAAGTGTTGCTGTAGTGAACGAGAACACGAGTGGGGACAATCGAATATATTGGACACGAAATTACAGAGCATCTCAATAAAATCTGAGAACCATATAGTAAATAGTTGATTTACAAAATATCAATCCATCGTCTCAAACTTAACTGTTCCTTTTGCAAATATAAGTCCATTGTCTCAGATTTCATTGTTCATGCATTTTCATACCAATTGCGTCCCGTTTCCGTTCCTTCTATGCCTGACTACCGTTATATACTACTTATGTGGATATAGTTATCCACACTACATTACTACTAAGATTTGACTTGATAGTTTCGAATAGATTGAGCACCGAAAAGATTATTAACAATGGAAATAATATATGAGAAAAAAATTAAATTACCAAAGTTTCGTCACTGAGTATTAACCACTTCTTCAAAGAATAATAATAATACATTGATACAAGTTTAAATAGTACAAAGAACACAATAGTTTTTAGTATAATCAAAACAAAGATAGACTTAATCATGGTAATATTATTGTCATTTCTGTCAAGTTTATGTTTTGTGTGAGACATAACTGAGTGTAATTGTATGTGTTTATGTTAGGGGATGTGATAAATGTTGTTTTCAGCATTTTCAACCATCCTTCCGTTCATTTTGTCAAGACATACTGTATAGAACAGTGTAATTTTTATCAACTCTAAATTTCACTATATTTTGGTCCGCCCCCCGCCCACGAAAGGTAACAGGCGTATGTAAGTAAGCAAGTAAGTATGATACAGGATTGAGCTATACTGTTTAGGTCGCAATGTAAAAGCCTGGATGGTGTCTGATTCTCCTGAAAAGGGGCATAAAATTACCCTCTCTGAGGATATATTCAGTAGGTATTTTTCTAGGTGTGCTGTACTAACATGTTCATGGAAGATAAATATTTTTTTTAAAAACTGCAGGCGATTGAAATGAAATCTTTGGTGAAACCTTCAATCAAATATACAGGAAAGCCTTTAAATAACCTGGGAAATGTCCAAAAATGTCGGAAAAATTACTTATTGAATGTTGGAAATTTCGTGGATAACATTTGTCAGAAATTGACACAGCACCTCCATTCATCCGCCTATTCCGTATACCAAATGTGGCAATTCAATTTAAGATTCACTAAGTTATTGTAACTTTAAATGAGTGTCTTCTTACAGAAAACCATGAAGTTTAATTATGCATTTATCACTTCAGTGATGAATCAGAAATTTACAACCATATTGATGTAAATAAGTAGACTTTAGTCGTCGAAAACATGGAGTGCCGACGTTCCTTCATCGACGTAGCTTGCTGCGTTGCGTTCGTCGTCGGCGGCGGCGGCTCACCATTTTAGTGGCACGTGGATCTGATCCTGTTAGGTTTGAAGCTTCACGGGTTCACTTAGACTGCGAACGAGAACAATACTCAGTGACCAAAGACCAGTAATCTAACTATTGACGCGTCCCAGCCCCGCTAACTAGAAGGAGAAGTCCAGGCTTGGTATGGAAAATATATTCTGCATACAACCAGAAACGAGCGAGCAAGCAAGCAAGCAGCAGCGAACAGTAGCCAACGCTCAGACACAAATTAAACGTATATATATATAAATATATAAAATCGATATTGTCATATTAAATGTTATTTTTAAACATGACTCATTCAGTTCATCACTCGACAGGCATTAGAATATTTAGTCGATAAGTTCATCATGTGACTTCCTTCCAAATATTTAATCGATGAGTCAATCGATATGATAAAATTACAAATATGAATTTTGGGAATATACCGTCCCAACACTCCTCCCCTTTTTAATAGCGCGCTTTTCTGGGGTCGACTTGCATTTTGACTGTAGTTTGCCGCTGACGGAGAGGCCACCTTCTGGGACGGGGATCAGCTTGCTGTTGAGCTTCTTGTGGTGGGGCTGCAGGTAAGTTGAAAGTATCAAGCAAGATGTCGAGGGGAAGATTTACTGCATTTGATGGGTGGTCTGGGGCAATCCGCTTACGTAGTTGGTTTCGGTGTCTAGTCCACGTGTCTCTTCCCACCTTTACCTCGTACATAACTTGACCTAGTCTTCCAATCACACGTGCTTCGATCCAAGGACCATGATTTGCTCTGTAGTCTCGAGCGAACACGGGGCATCCAACCTCGTACGCTGGAAGCTTCTGAGATTTGGTATGGGATGGTGGTGGTGTGGTTCTTGGGCACATGAGACTGTGGATCGTCCTCAATTTCCTTCCCATCAGGATCTCTGCCGGGGACTTCTGCTGTGGTAGCATATCACTAGGTGTTGTTCGGTAAACAAACAAGAAATTCTGCAGTGTTTCTACTGTCGTCCCCTCCCCTTTCGACTTCATTAGAGCTCTCTTGAATGTATCTACAAATCTTTCTGCTTGTCCATTTGACTGTGGGTGGTAAGGTGGAGAGCGGAAATGCTTGATCGATAGGCGTTTGCAAAATTCTTGAAATTGACTTGAGGTGAATTGCGAACCATTATCGGAAACAATTATATCCGGTAATCCGTTGCGAGAGAACATCTCTGTCAAAAGTTTTATCGTTTGAGTTGTCGTTGGTGGCATGACGGGAACGATTTCTGGCCATTTCGAGAAGGCATCAACAACGACTAGATAGGTAATTCCATTAATTGGGCCTGCGAAATCGACATGTATCCTGGACCAGGGATACTCAGGTTGTGGCCATGGGACCGGCAGTATTTTTGCGTTACACTTGGCTGCTTGCTGACACTGTGCGCGGTCCTCTGTCAATAGGGAGGCAATAACTGCATCTTCGCCGGCCGTATGATGTTCGCTGGTCGAAAACTCCGTCATTGGTTCTTTCGAATATGATTCAGGTTCATGAGGTTGTTCAACCAGATGGCATACGGTGCTTAACGGAACGTCAGCTAAATGTAGCTGGTCATACCAGTCTAACCCAAGTAGATTAAGATTAGCTGGTGTGATGTAACATAACCCGGTAAACGTCGAATCATGAAAAGACACTTTACAATCTAGTTGTCCCAACAAACGTAGATAATTACCACATGCGGTTCGCGGTTTTTGTGTTGTCGGCACCAGGCGTGGTCTTCCCATTCTGATCCAAGATTTTCGTGAGAGAATCGTTACATCAGATGCAGTGTCTATTTGCAATCTAAGAGGGTGCCCATTAATATTAAGGGTAATAAATTTCCTCTCAACTGGGGTTGAGTTCTCACAGCTTGCTATTAGACTCAACGAATTCGTGTTGGATCTAGGCGTAGGTTTTCTGGTACCTCTGGAGTTGCTCGGCTTCTTTTTTCGACAAAAACCATCTTTATGACCCACCACATTACATTTCCTGCACCGATGTTGCTTATATGGACAGTATCGAACAAAATGCCATGCACCGCAGTGCCAGCATGGAGCAGGAGGATTTGTTTTTGTCTGTCGACCTGAACTAGATGTAGCTGGGGCAGATTTATGCGAGTTGAGTGGTTGTTGGACTACATGAACTTCGGTACGATTTGAGCCACCACGCTGGACCATTGTAGTATCACGCTGTAGATTGATTAGACGTTGATATTCATTTGCAATATCATTAAGAGTTAGTTTTGGGTCTTGGTCCAATCGACTTAGCAAACGCGTTCTAATGTCACTGAACTTCTGCGATTGAAGGCTGCAGATGAGAATGAGTGCTTTAAATTGATCTTCAATAAGCGACTTCAATCGGAAACGTTCACATTCTCGGTTGACAATACCCACATGTGTGAGAAAATCATCATCTTCGTTCATAGTGAGCTTCAAACATCGATAGCGCGCATTGAATAGTGAGGAGTTGTCTCCGAATTGTTGGCTCAATGACTGGACAGTGTCGGAGAATGAACGATCGCGTGGGTTTAAAGGCAGAATTAGATTGCAATACTTGTCTAGTTCACTAGGACCCAACTTTCGAAGCAGCAAGCGGACCTTCCAAGCATCATCCTGGTTGGCAAAGTCAAATTTGAATAAGTCTTCGTAACGTCGAAACCACATATCAAACGTGACATTGGATTCTGGATCGTAATGAAACTCGGAGATACTGTTAGCAATACCATCAACCGATGGTGCAGTAGTAGTAGGATTAGAACTGCTTGGATGAGAATTAGACGTAAGCTTTGCATCTGCTAACATTTGAATAAGTTTCATCTGCTGCTCGAGTAATAATTCAAGTTTAGATGGATCCATATTTCCGAAATCACCGTCGCCAAATTGTTAGGTTTGAAGCTTCACGGGTTCACTTAGACTGCGAACGAGAACAATACTCAGTGACCAAAGACCAGTAATCTAACTATTGACGCGTCCCAGCCCCGCTAACTAGAAGGAGAAGTCCAGGCTTGGTATGGAAAATATATTCTGCATACAACCAGAAACGAGCGAGCAAGCAAGCAAGCAGCAGCGAACAGTAGCCAACGCTCAGACACAAATTAAACGTATATATATATAAATATATAAAATCGATATTGTCATATTAAATGTTATTTTTAAACATGACTCATTCAGTTCATCACTCGACAGGCATTAGAATATTTAGTCGATAAGTTCATCATGTGACTTCCTTCCAAATATTTAATCGATGAGTCAATCGATATGATAAAATTACAAATATGAATTTTGGGAATATACCGTCCCAACAGATCCCAATTAGATCGTACGAATGTTTGCTATCGCCTATTCTCCTATATAATCGTTGACTTAAAATCACGTTAGCCAGTAACAGAATTAAATAAGTCAAATAACGAGAATGGGACTTTGAATATATATATTTTGTACATGAGGTGAATGGAAGAGAAGGAAGAGCAATGACGCAAAGCGGAGATTGCTGATAAGCCAACTCCATTTTAGACAAGCGTTACTCAATCTTTATAGTCAGACAAAATAAAGCTATAGACATGCAATGAGTCATGGGATATGATGTTCACACACATATACGCTCATATAAAAACAGTCTAGATTGATAAGCGAATAAACAACAAGGTCAAAGTATGGCTCAAGTAGAATGGATAAAATGGGATGTCCGAAAGCTAGAATAAGGTATAAAGGTCTTGGCATAATAACTGACACTACAAGTCTTTTATCTGTTCAATGATTGGTATAAGATAAAAGATTGTCTTCAGAATCCGTATGTATACTACCATGCAACTATTTAATATTACTATAACGCTGTTATGTTTAATGTCCTAATTTGTTATATGTATTATTCGACATTACAAGTAATGTAACCAATAGATGACTGCATTCCTGTTATTTATTTCAGAATGCGAACTGTTTCAGTAACTGTTAATCCGTTTTCAACTTGACTAGATTTTCAGAATAATAAACTTTATTAAAACTAATCTCAAATGTCTTGTAACTTACTATCACATCCTTGAGTTCCAGCTTCTTGACCATTTGAACAACGACAACTATACGTTCCAGGTTCATTAATACATTTTGATCCAAGCGGACACTGAGAAATTCCGATAGCACATTCATCAATATCAACACATTCAATAATATTTGATTCAGGTGTACCTATCGCACGGTATCCTTGTGGACATGCAGGTTGGCAACGAAAACTGCCTGGTATATTTACGCATCGTTCATTTTCACTACATTGGTAAGCTCCAGATAGACATTCGTCAATATCTGAATTTTAACATTTGTCATTAAATTAGGAATTTTAATATTTTACATATGAATTCATTGAAGGGTATAATAGAACTTCCCTAAACCTACCCATATTGTTTGTGTCAGGATAAAATATCTAACAAGTCTCCAATTTATCCAAAAGTCTATTACTGAAATAAGTTATGAATTATGAACAAATTTGAACGGGCTTGAAAGTGATATTCATGTCTAGTCACTTATACGAATCCTACTTTTGACAATGAAATCTGGAAGTATTTGATATGTCTGCTAATAATAACCCCAGTAAAAGTCTATACGGCAACTTGAATACAAGACAAAAGGAGGGAATTACGAAAAGAACGCTGTACTCTAAGGTTAGTTTGTGTACACAATATGAAGGTATTTATAGAATTACATACAAGCCTTAGCTTCTGGAAGTTTCTTGGACTATACTAAATATAACAGTAGTATGGGTAAATATCCAGTCCAAAACATGGGACGCGACTCTTCACTTCCTAGATGTTTCTGAGTCTTTTATTGTATATCTATTGTATAAAGTGTTTTCAATGGTTTTCTGGAACCTTATGAACTTTCTGGAGGAACACTTTGGAATTACCGAAAAGTATTCTAACGAAATCTTGAATTTGCTAGGTTGACAGGATAATCTTATATGTGAAAACATCTTAGGGAGTCTAGACTAAATGCATCAAAACTTTAAAAGACAGACTATTTATCGAACTTGTACAATATAAAAGCTACACTTATTAGTATTTGCAAATGTGAGAATGCATAAAGTTGACGAGCAATCTTTTTATGTAAAATAGAGTGAGGTATTTGTGAAATTCTATCTTTAAATTAAGGTTTGTAGAATATTATTGTACATAGCCCGACAGGTTGGTTGAAGAACAGTAAGACTAGAAGCAGTAAACCCAAGATCCGAAGATGAAGTCGTACTGGTGACTATACAGAGGTGTGATGGCAGTAAGTTGTTTCCTTCAGACAACCAGCTTAACAGCGATGCTGACACAAGGAGGGGTGGGGTTAGAAAAGGTCGACCCTAAAAATGCACACCTCATCTTATCCCATGGATATCCGTTCCCTGAGGTAAGGTTTGAACAAGTACTGAGCTAACACAAAAATCACTCACAAAATGGTCGTGTGTGACAGACCTCATGCAGTTGGCTTTCGGGCACTGAGGTCACGGTCTGAGGTCACCAAGACCACTTTTAATCCAATTTCTTTTTCAGGTACCTCTGGAAGAACCCTTCCACGGTGTGGGCGACCGGAAAGTGAAAACTGTCCTCACACCTCTAACAGAACTCAAGGTTTGATAAACCTTCTGTAGCGTACATGGAACTCGAAACACAGTCTGGACACGTGAAGTATAAACTTAAAGTCTAGTTTATCTGCCAAATAATTCACACTTGAATAATCTGTTTTAGACATTTGTAGATAAATAAAAACCATTTTTTAAGGTTGTTTGAAAAGTATTATCTTACCTTGGCATACTTCACCTATTCGTTTGTAACCTGGTAAACAAATACATTGATAACCTCCGAAGGTATTCACACATGTATGAGGTCCACAAATACCTGGTCCATTTTGACATTCATCAATATCTTTTAATTATTTTTAAAAGAATTAGATTAGGAAAAAACACAATTTATAATTAGTAACAGATTAGAGGATATTTTTTTAGGGGGGGAGCAAGTATCATATGTTTTATCAGTTAGAAAATCCATATGAGGTATTTTATATGAACCACAAAACTAATTATAATTTTATAAGCATAGGAACTAAATAATGGAATAAAATAATAATATAACTATTCTGAAAAAATCTCTGACTGGAGACCCTCTGGGGTTACCGCCGGTTCCAAGTTTGAATAAAGGAGGAGTGTTGAGAATAGGAAAGGAAACCCAATGATATCATTCTGAACCGAATAAGCTCTAATACTCATCTGATTATGTATATTTGGTAAATAAAAAGAATGGGAGTGTTACTGTCTCATCCTCATTGGAAATCCAATCACTTTAAACAGTTTGTTTTACATCAAATTTAACTAATAATGAATATATACGATTGATGAAATAAGTAACAAGACAACTTGGATAATTTTACTAACTCAAAAAGGTAAATGATAACTACTACTGCTCTTTTAATTAGCTTAGTAGAGTATATAATGAAATTCGCACATACGGACTAGACAAGCATGACATTGATCACCCCTCATTGATCAATCAATTGTGATTACATCTCAGTCCTACAGGGGGTTAGTCACGGCTCGGATAGCTCAGTGGTAACGTCTCTGACTGTGAAGCTGGGTGACACGAAATCGAATCCACCAGGGAGCACCAGTTCCCTCAAGATTACAGGTATACCTTACTGACGAGTGCCAAGTAGCACGAAACCCAGGTCCAGGATTTCCTGTTGACTACCTCCAACCATCATCTAAATCTCAATACATAGTGCCCACAGTGTCGAGTCACCTAGACTGTTGGCCACATCGCAACATGATCGATAGCATTCGATCTGCACTAATATGTACTAAACAACAGTGATCAATCAATTGTGAGAAAATGTATTCTATTCTACAACGAAGATGATATAGCATATAAATGAAATTAAAAGATACGGGTTAATTCCTTCGCATGTGAATTCCATTTGAAACATACAAAGGGATTTGTTCTTCTTCCTTTTGTATGAAGCAAGCTTTCAAACAAATCATTTCATTAATGATTCAATGGATAATAGATACTCTTTCATGATTACCTAATTCTGTCAGACTGTGAATCTTGAAGAAGTTTGAAGCAATTGTTTAGCGGATAAAAAAAATGCCAGAGCTTTGCATCTAAAGGAAATATATATTCAGCCGCTTGTTTTACCATGGTCAACTTCAGGGTCAACATAATTTGATTAATGCTCATTTTTGTGTCCCAAACTTAATATTATTATTATCATCAGAAGGGGTTGGAAACCTGGAAACACTGGACGGCCATTTCGTCCTACTATGGGACTCCTCAGCAGTGCGCGATCCAGCACACCACGGGATTCGAACCCGAGACCTAGTGGTTTCGCGCGCAAACACTTAACCATTGAACCACTGAACCGGCATCCAATGGTGTTAATGTCTAACTTCAACTAATCCACGAAGTTGCGCCACCGTATACCATTGTCTTCACTGCTGAGGAGTCCCAAACTAGGACGAAACGGCCGTCCAGTGCTTCCAAATTTGCCATGTTGGTCTAGCTTCAACTGATTCATGATCTCAATCTGTGTTATTATTATTACACTTGCTAATCTTTTTGAGAAGTTTATTCAGCATCCACCCCTATCTACTAATTCTTTCCTAATTCATATTATTCTACATATTACGTAATTTCTGTTTTGTAATTATACTAATCTCTCTCTCACTCACGCCCTGTTAACCATATTTCGATCATTTATCTGAAAATTTCATTTCATTCTAATAATTGAGATCACGAGATCATGATGATCAAACTTTAATTAACTCGTGATCTCAACTATTAAAATTACTATATAATATCCACAATACCCCCTTCTCAATTTAATTCCGTTTATGAAGTGATTCAAGTTTGTTATCCAAATATTAACAAGTTCACTTGATTTGATTTAATATGCCAAACAATCCTTCATTTACGTGTTACAATTTTAAGTGATATATTTAACCTTAAACTTGGCCAATTTTACAGATTATTCATTTGAACATTGAATAGTCGAATTCATGAGTCAATTAAAGCTAAACCACGATGGAAAACCTAGAATCACTAGACGGCCTTTTTGTTCTAATATGAGACACTTCAGCAGCTTGCATCTACTAACCCACACAGCGAGATTCGAACCAAGGACATATCGGTCTGGCGCACGAACTCTTAACTTCTAGATCACTGTGTCAGCCGGCATCCAACGATGTTAACGTCTAACTTCAATCAAACCAATTTAAAGATATAATTGTAAATGCTGATGAGAAATTATTGAAAAGAATATCCTTCGTTCATATAATTGTTTTAGTAGAATGGGGGTTTATCAACAATATAAATTTCTAAAAAAATATCATGAATTTAATTCTTGCAATTTTTCAATAAACATTATTGGATGTAACTACAAGCTAAACATAAATTGACCTCTTCTTCTTCTTCTTCATTAAATGCGTTTGTTGAAGCATTAATATCTTTCTCTGAGGTAGGAAATAGTGATTATGAACCTTGGAAAATCAGAAAGCTAACCATAACAACCATATACATTCTAGTGTCGTAGCGTTTTCAACGATATGTTCTTCATTTTATCGTTCTATTTTCTAACTATCTAACATCGGGAATAAAAATGTTAAGACCATTTTAAATGTTCCTCAAGGTCATCGGTACATTATAATTTCTTACAATTGATCTTTAAGCACCATTTATCATTGGTTCATAATCACACAAAAAAAGAACTAGCTTCTTTTCATTTAATCCAGTATGATTTATAACACATTCAAGATCTTGATGGCCTTTTGTTCTCTGAGCTGGTTAGTTTGGTCGTGGAGCTTTCATCGTTCTTCTGAATGACATCATCAGCATAAACTACATTAAAGAATATATAACATGGTATTCAAGTTGTTGTTGGAAGTACTGCCTAAGTGGTCATCATTCTGATTGTTTTCATACACATTTGCTTAATTTAGTAAAGTATCCATATAAAATTCTAGAATAAGCTGATATGAAAAGATGATGAGTTGGGATCTAACTGATAGCTAGATCTTCTGGCTTATTTTTTTAATCTTTAAAATAAACTCCTATATGATATTCATCAATAGCATGTTTATTACCTTCACAACGATCCATTATAGGATTTTCTTTCAAACCGGGTCCACAAACATGTTTACATTCATAACTTCCATGAGTATTAATACATCTTTGTCCATATGGGCAAATAGTTTGATTATTTCCACTTATAGCGCATTCATCAATATCAATACAAGAATGACCATCAACTGATAAACGATAACCTTTATGACATGTACATGTATAGTAAGGTACAGTATTTTTACAAACATGATCACATTTATTCAAATTTGGAAAAGCGCATTCATCTACATCTGAAAATGAGAACAAAATACAAAACATTCGTTATTTCAACTAAAAATAATAATTGAAAACTTGGAATCAGTGGATGGACGCGTGTGCAATAGTAGTTGGACACTGCTGAGGAATCTCATACTGGGACGAAACAACCATTCAATTCTTCCAAGTTTTCAATAATAGTTTAATATTGATCGTTTACTGATCTTAATGAAAACGTAACAATCTCCACAACTCTATATTGATATTTATTAATTTTGGTGAGTTCATCAGTGTTGGGTAGATAAAAATAGAATAGATGGCAATCAAGTGCATTGAAATGTGATTATTTTATAATCAATCTGTTATTTTGCACTTGAAACTGTTGATGTTAAGTCATTTTATCATATCTGGTAATCAGTCTAAATCTGAGTCAATCCATAAGTCCACTTTAATTATTAAACTACTATAATGTTTCAGTAACATTATTCAAGAATAAGTAAAGTAGACAATGAGCACTTAATGTTAGCGTTTTTTTAGCGAGTTAGTTTTCTACGGGATGGAGGCGCTAACACCATGCCTAACCCTCCTCCTTTACCCGGGCTTGGGACCGACAGTAACTCTAGAAAAGCGACAGTTGGAGGAGCAGATGCAGTTGTAAAGGCGAGGATTGGCAAAGCAAAGGCCGCATTTCTACAATTAAAGAACATATGGAACTCAAAACAACTGTCTTTCAATCAATATTAAAGTCACAATCTTTAATACGAACCTCGACATAATCAGTTCTACTGTACGGAGCCGAGACTTGAAGAACTTCTACGACTATCATTAAGATGGTACAAGTATTTATAAATAGTTGTCTTCGCAAGATACTCAATATTCATCGGCCAGATACCATCAGTAACAGACTAATGTAAGAGAGAAAAAAACATATTCCAGATGAAGAAGAAATTAGGAAAATATGATGGAAATGGATAGGCCATACATGCGAGAAATCACCAAACTGTATCACGAGGCATGTCCCAACTTAGAATCCTCAAAGGAAGCAGAAAATAGAAAGACCAAAGAACGTATTACGTTGAGAATCAGGTTTGAAAAGAATTAATAACAACTGAAAAGATCTGGAAAGGAGTGACCAGGACGGTGTTGGATAGAGAGTGCTGGTGGGCGGCCTATACTTTTCCATGAGGAGTAACAAGTCTAAGTAAGTAAGAACACTTAACGCTCAAATTCTACGATATTGTGTTATAACTATGTTTTGTAAGAAAAAAATTAGATCAAATGGTGTTAAATATGACATTTACCTTTACAATAATCTCGTCTTCTTTGTAATCTAATACTTGTTCCAGTGATTCTAGCTTGATTCAATTCAAAACCAGATGGACAAACATCTGGACCAATAGGTTTTTTCATGATACTTTCAGCGTAAAACTCAAATTGTCCAGTTTGTGAATTTACTTTATTTTCTATTCCATTGATATGAAGTTCTTGAGTTAAATAAGTTTGTCTTCTTTCTGGACCAATTTGGATTGTAGAAATCCATGAATAAGGTTCCATTTGTGATTTTTCTCTCTTTAAATTATAAACTGTGAATGCTCTGGACGAATGGCTATGAAGGCTACCTAATGAGAAAGAATAATAACGAAATGAAAATATAATCTTTTAGAATAATATACAAAGAGGGATCGTCAATTACGAATATATGTTATCACATATTTTCTAATTGTTTTTGCTAAATCAAACCCAAATTATTTATCAGAAGGGGATTTTGGTGAGATCTTAGTAACTTTTTTAATTCAACTCATGAGTCAATTAAAGTTAGACCACTAATGAAAACCTGGAAGCACTGGACGGCCGTTTCATTCTCGTACGGGATTCCCATGGATTGGTTGAAGTTAGACATTAATATCATTGGACGCCAGCTGGCTTAGTGATCTATAAGTTAAACGTTCGCGCGCAAGACCAATAGGGTTCGAATCCCGCTGAGCGGGTTCGTGGATGCACACTGTTGATGAGTCCCACAATAGGAGGGAACGGACGTCCAGTGCTTATGAATGTTTAAATATTGAAGAAACTAACAACATCGGCCATTAATAACACTGCCTGAAATGTGTCTAAATAGAATATACATAATTCTGAGTCAGTCAGCTACAAAGTGGGACCAGGCACATATATGCCTCGGTTCAAGTTGACATACCACATTAGCACAACAAGACGAACACCGGATTCATAGAAGTAGTTAGTTCAATGGTGGTAATATATATAAAAAAAGATTGCATATAAAGACATGGTACAGGAAGAAAGAATTAGTTTGTAGAAAGAGACCTATGAAGTGAATTTATTCTCTTAGTTTAAGGGAGGACTGAGAGTTTATACACCTACGCCATTGTGATCGATTAACAACCATATCACACACAGTCTCCAGCGATTGGTTACGATAGTCACGCGGACACCAACCAAGTAGTCTGCATCTACCAACATGGCTCACACTAGCAGTTAATGTCTTCAAGCAATGATACCACGTTTTGATTTGACCACCCCTGACTTTCTTCCAACAGTCTCCAATACAAGTCAGCATTGTGCGTCTTGGTAATCGGTGTTCAGGTGTAGGCAACATGTGGCCCAACCATCTCAGTCGATGAAGATTCAGAACCTCAACAACTGATTTACCATCATTCCCTAATACCCTGAGTCTAACCTGAGTGGAGCTTAGACGCATTGAAATAACTTAATATTAATTATCCTAAGTAGTTCGTTAGTTTTTATGCAAAACAAAGTTACTTACCTTTTTGAGGACTTAATTGTACTAAGTTTTCATGAAAATCATGTAATTCAACTTCAGGACTTGAAGTTGTTTTATAATCAATTAAAGACAATGTACAAGATCCAGATAAATAAATATCCGTTGTCAAATAGACAACAGATTCACTTGAAGATGACATAATTGAATCATTTGATCGTAATACACGTTGGCTCATTTGTATTGTATTGCCATCAGCAAATTGACCAACTGATTCCCATGTGATTCCGTTTAATGCACCCATAATTGTATGACCATTAGATGCACCAGATACCTATACATTTCAAAGAAAATATACATGATAAAAGTTCAGATACCTTACTTAAATACTATTCTGTTTTGAAAGATTTTGATATGTGATTATGCAATATTTTAACGACAAATCGTTGTTCTTCAATCTATTAGATCTTTGAATACATATTCCTGGTATAAACCGAAACCCAGAGGGTTTATAAAATCTGATTATATCTACTACACAAACGATAGTAGATGTTACTGGCATACGTCATTACAAAATAACTAGAAACTTAGATCCCCACAAAAAGGGATGGGGTTATAAAAGTTCAACCGTTAAAACACACATCTCGCCTTATTCCACGGATATCCGTCTCCGGCGGTAAGGTCTCAACATGTACGGAGCAAACACGAAAACTACCCATGAAAAGGTCAGGTGTGACCAACCTCAGTCCCGCTGTTGATATTCAAGACAGAAATTTGATCAGTCCTTGTTGACTTCTATCAGTGTTGTGTTTTCCAATCCTAGATACAAGTCATATATTTTGAAATATTAGAAAAAAATTGTCCGTACCGAAATCATTTAGTCAAGATATAATTACGATGGAAAACACAGATCAAAATTTTGTCCTGGATATTAACAACAGGATAACATAAACCATTACTGAAATTAAGAAATATTAACATAATTGACAAATTTATTAATCTTTCTAATTGAACGAAATGATTCACCTCTTTTGCTGCATACCAAATGCCAGGAAGATAAATTTCAGTTAAAGCTTGTAAACATTGACTACGTTCTATTGGTACATTAGTTAAACGGAATTCGTAATTTGTAGAACGATTTGAAGCAGAAGTAGACCAATTAGCATTAAGATGAATTGTTCCAATGTCTTGATTATTCAATCGGCCTCGAATAGTTCCAGTTATCAGTCCTTTGTTAGCACTATGTAGAGTATCTTTTAAATTTAAAGATTTCAGACAGTAAACAAAATTATGTTGGATTAAAAAAAATACTGCTAGTTACGAAAAAACGAACAGTGAATATCATTAAGTGATAAAATGAAATTCAGATGATAGGCTTCAAGTAACATATATTCGTGTTTTGGCGATGTATACTGTAGGCAGGGCCGCCAAATGCCCCAGTACGGCCGAGAGTGGGGAGAGTCAGCTCTCCCTTTCGAAATGCTCTCATATGGTCACGCGTATACAACCTCTGCCAGGGAAGTCCTACTCACTGCCTTCTCATGGTGGGCGTGTTGTTTACGAAGTTGAGAGGACGAAAAGCGAATATCCGGCGCTTTAACCGGGTTGGTGAACACAGAGAGTTCACCTAGGGGAGTTGGAAAACCCTAATTCCAAACCACTGGTGCACATGGGCTCCAGTATCCTGAAGTAATAAATGGCTTATGAACCAATCGTTATTCACCGGCTACCATGGGACTGCATCTCCTTATGTTGCTCCACTGCCTTGTGGATTAGACCTTCAGGTCGAAGGATCCGGGTGTGGTCCCCTAAGAAAGCCACCTGCTTCGGTTTGGGAACCCGGTCAGTATCACAGCTCTCACACATATCAAATGAGATTTGTGTGGCGCATATGTACTTGGTGCTTCCTTGTACGAATATCTGTGTGTTAAAATAAATAAATAAACTGTAGGCGGGACTCCTTTATTACGGAGTTTACAATACCGTTCTAGACTTCAAAATCATCACTTACCTTCATTTGAAGTCACTATGGAACAAATTTCTATACGAGAGACGTTTAGAGTGTACTCGTTGACAGAAGTTCCAACTCCTAACTCAATGATTAAAAACAAAGTACCTAAACTACTGCTATATATTAGTCCATAGCTTGTTTTAGTAAAATTTGATTATGTTTTATTTACCTAAATATATGATTCTATTATACAATAAAAGTACTCACAAAGTTGCCAAATATAGAATGTTTAAATTTTCACCCTCTGACAATAGAATGACAATATATAAGCATTCACTGTTTAAGTAGTGAATAACTACTACTATGATTTATGTTTGATCTTTGAGCAACACTAAAGTGGCCTTGATAATGTCTACCCAATTACTAGAACTAAATAAGAGTTATAAACCTGTTTGAACAATAAGGATTATGACTTATGGTTGATGATTGAAGTTAAGAATTAGATTAAATGTTTTCATCACGAATCGACATCAGCTAAAATACGAAAATGGCTATTTAGCCAAATGTATTCATGAATTTCGCGCCAAAATCTAAGACTATTTTTCGTAAATCTGATTGGTTCGTCCGTAAATTATAGTCTCTCTGTAAATAAATTAAAATAGTCTGTTAACAATGAGTAACATAAATCAATGAATTTGATGATAAACTAAGACAGTTTTTTGGTATAATACATGTTTCCATCATACAACTAAATCCTACCTTGACATTTATCTAGTTTATATTCAAGTGTACAGTCTTGAATTTCTTCAGCTGGACCTGGACATCCATGGGTTGACTCATTTTCAGGAGATAAAAGTGTACATGTTCGTTCACGACGTTTTATTCCACTTTTTTCCGATATTTGACTAACTAATGAGCAGTCAGGTTCACATTCCGACCAAGAAGACCATTCTGACCAAGTCGAAATTAGTCCAGGTTCATTGTTTGAACAAAATTCTGAACTACCACGTTTTTGTGTTTCACATGTTCTTATTTCTTTCGCTGATCCTCGGCATAGACGTCCACCAAACTGAGGTTGTGGTTGAGTACATTCACGTTCTCTAGTCTGTAGTCCAACACCACAGGTACGTGAACAGGCTGACCATGATGACCAGTTCGACCAATCACCATGAACTAAAGAGGAAAGTATTGTTTTTTTTCAGAAATCTTTAACAACTATTAATGAAATACATTCACAAATAACCAAAAGAATTATTAAGTAAAATATCTTTGCATAGATGAAAAATTCTGTTAAAGAGACATTGGGAACCAAACATGTGAATGTTTCTGTTTTATTGAGTTTTAGATATGAATAAAATCAAACTCTTTAGAACATACTTGGACACGGTTCTGACTGACATTCAGAAGTTTCTGTACTTCCTGTTGGTGGACAATCTTCACCTCCATATGCTGGAACCGGACTATCACATATACGAGTACGACGACGTTGACCTCCACCACAGCTATGTGAACAATGAGACCAAGAGCTCCATGTTCCCCATCCTCCATTTATTGGACAAGGGCCACGGTTACAAGCACGTACCTACATTCGGAAAAATTTTAGAACAGTGAGCTTTTGTTCATTATAAAAACTTTTTAAATAAATCATTATATGTTTTGGATTTATTATTTTTAAAGATAATTTAGATGTACATCTCTAAGTTTACTTGCTGTTGCATGATAGGTTACATTGGCTGCACAGAACGAATACTTTTTAAACTTATTTCAGTACATTTCCTGTCATTTATTCTAATAATGAGAACCGAATATAATCAGTGGCTTGGTACAGGAATATCTCACTAACTTTGGTCATGCTGACTCAAAGAAATCGTCATTCAAATTAATCAACATGGTCAAAAGAATGGGATCAAAAGTAAGTCAAATTTGTGTGGCGTTGGAAATTCATCACTCCAAATCTGAACTCGATATGCTAAAACAATACATAAAACCCTATAATCTTTCTATAACCCAAAAACCTCTTCCAGTATTATTTTGTCCCTTGTTTCTTATTTTTGAAGTTCCCCTCTTTGTTTTAGCAACCAGTTTTTACTAATTGTTATTCATTTCCCAATATAACTTCTACATTGGTCATTTCTTCTTTATATCTGTTAAGTGAATAGTTTATGTGTCAAATCGCTGATCTGTAAGATTATTGTCATCCTCTTATTCTCCTTTGACTTGTCACTCATTATGTAACCCTCTTTTGATATTTAAAATTTCGAATCACTTTATGATGCAATTTCTTTGTTAATTTTCCTATAGACATACGAGCAGTCTAGAGTCCTTATCGGTCCTGCTTCCTGCCTAGACCTAACTGCCTGTTGAAGCCAGAACACCAATCTCAGCCTCTACAATATGAATCGCTTATTTTAAACATACTGGATTTATATACCAAGTAGACAGACCACATCGTACCATAAAATAGGAAACAACATCTGTACAAGATTTAGCCAAATGTTGTTGTGAATGTGGGAGATGGTATTTGATAGACTGGGTAGAACTCAAGAATGGTAAATCGCATTATGATAGCCTGTATGTCAAAATAAAGCATATGATAAGAGGGATATGAATATGCATAGTTTAGTTACTTAACAACTATACAATAAAAATATATGTATAGTATTAGTTCAGAAATAGATTTCAATAATTACCATTCATTATTAGCATTGGGGTATAACAATTTCGTAAAGAAAAATTTCTATACTGAATTCCCTTTATTCAGTGACACAATGGGTTAGCTTCACTTATTTACTCCTTTCTCATAGTCCATACAAAACATAAAACTGTCTAAATAATACTAATTATCAGTATGAGGTTGTGCAGATTGTTGAGGTTTTGATTGAGATCATGAATCAATCAATGTTGAACTGCCATTGAAAACCTGAGCACTGGTGAGAAGTCCCATACTTGAACCAAACAGCCGTCCAGTGTTTCCAGGTTTTCAATAGTGGTCTAACATTGATCGATTTATGAGCTCAATCATAATACTAACAGTTATGATTAAACTTGACACTGATTAATCATTACATAATAAATAATGTGGTGATTAAATTCTACAGATAATATTGCAATATGATCACTGGTCTAAGTGATTCAACAATGGTTGTTTTATATTTTAGCATACGTTGGTGGTTGGAAGTAACTTCTGATCATGGAACTAAACTATTTCGGAAATGATGTTTGTAAGGATGGAATGTTTTGGTTTATTCAAGAATACTTTTAGGAAGAAGAGGAAGACCAAAGAACACATTACACCGGGAAATGGAGATAGACATGAGAAAAATGAATAAGAATTGGATGGAACTAGAAAACAAGGCCCAGGACAGAATGGGTTGGAGAATGCTGGTCTACGGCCTATGCTCCATAAGGAGTAACAGGCGTAAGTAAGTAAGTAACTTTTAAGAATTATCAGAGTTACAACGGAGTAAACATACACGTTGATAAATGAAACACTAATAACATTGTTCAAACAAATAACAAAATGGTTACTTCATTGCTTGAGGTTGTTAATAAAACTCATTTACAATATATATATATCGTTGTTATTTCTATTGAACCTACCATCAAGTCTTGCCCTGGACATGATCTGCCACCATTCGACGGTGTTGGATTATCACATGTTCGTTTACGATTTTGAGTTCCTCCTATTCCACAGGTTGATGAACAGTCAGACCAAGGAGACCATGGTGACCAACTACCAGAGACTGGACATGGTGGAAGACCTTCACACATCACATCTTCAACAGCTTCACCAACACATGACTTCATAAAGACAAATAAAATTCAAGGAATGCATGATTTTCATGTACTCAAATACAGATTCACGATTTGATGATAAGCATTGAAATAGACAATTGTGAACATTAAGAGATACATTTATTTATTAAATCTGTTAACTGATTAGATATGACAAATGTGGTTGCAAACTGTTATAACTTTACACAGTTAATCACATCATATTGTTGAAATACTCATTTAGTGAGTTCAAATAATTTGTAAGTACTTTGAAGATTATCAAGATAAAACTCCAGCACATTATATAGACAATTACATTGCTATTGAAAGAGAAATAGTATCATAGATCCTACAAAGTATGGTATCAGAAGATTGATTAATTCATTATTGTCATCTACAAAATCATTTCTCCTCATACTTCAGAGATACGCTATAAGTAGGAGACTGTAAAATCCAATAATTTCACTTTGTTCCCCCAAATTTTTCATTGTTAAAATAATCTTTAAATACTAGAAGAATAACATCAGAAATAGTGAAAACATATAGGACAACAGACTTTGAACATACATGATAGTAACTGTGTCGTTTGTATCCCCCCTCACCAATAAAAACTTATAGAGAATCCCATTTTGTTACACTAAACTAATCATTTTGACTCACACAAATTTTTCACGACACACTAGAGATCATCTTTTAAATGAAACTCAAACACTGACGTTAGGTATTATGTATTGTCGATCTATATTCTATAAGCAATAAGTTGAAAAAAGCCAAATGATCATTGATAATGTAAATGACTAATCCCAGAACAGTGATGTATATATTTTCCTATCTAAATATTGATATTACAACTGAAAATTGATTTATATTCATACTCATTTTCATAGTGGTAAACGAATGAATTGAATTTGGTGAGCTATTCGAAACTAAACTATAGGGGAAAAGCATGCTAGGATTCGCGCGTGAGACTCATAGGTCCTGAGATTGAATGTCTCGAGGAGCGGGGTCATGGATGCACACTGCTGAGGAGTCCGGTACTAGGACGAAACAGCAATCCAGTGCTTCCAGGTTTTCCATGGTTGTTTCATGATTTCAACTATTGAGATTCAATTTTATTTCATTGAAATCGGAAATGACTATAGATTATTCAGTGAATTCGTGAACTCCCACTAAGTCGTGTAGCGACAAGATATGCAATGAACACCTAACCCTTCTTATTACCTTAACTGATACTAAGGTGAACCAAACTATCTTGCTGTTTCAGTTTATTTTAATTTACTTCCCAGTTTGCATCCGGAACTGATATCAGTCAAGAAAATATTGGAAACTAGAAGTTACTGAACTCTTGTTTCGTTCTAGCTCTAGATGTCTCAGTAGTGTTCATCCACAGTCTAACCGACGATCAACCATGAGACCTTCAGGTATCGCCATGAGAGTATAACCTTTAGACTACTGAATCAACATGAAATGGTTTACGTTTCCAACTTCGTTGTAATATTTAGAATCTCAGTCAAATGATATTATAATATCCTATTTCATATTTTATTCAAACCATCAGTAATAAAAGTATAAGGTGATAAATATAATGCTTAAAAAATTGTCACACTACTTAAACATTACTTGAACAAATCACAAATATTATAGTAACATATAACCTACCCTTCCACCGTTGCTTGGAGGTGGACTATCACAACGTCTTCGTCTTTGAGATAAACCTACACCACATGTGGCTGTACAAGCAGACCAAGGTGTCCAACTACCCCATTCACCATCAGTAGGACAAAATTTTACTAAACATGGACGAATATCAATATTTTCTTCCGTACAATGAGCACCTCCATGTTTTGGAGCTGGATTAGTACATGTTCGAGTTCTATATAAAAATGTAAAAATATTTGGGAAGAAATCAGTTATTTAACTTATACATTTTTTTTTAAAAATGCAATGTACCTAATCTGAAATGAATATTCAGAACTATAAATAATAATTCATCACTCATATTGAATAGCCTTCCTATCGCATACACATGAACAAATGCAGATAAAGATATTCAATGCGGCAGCAGTCACTGCATCAGTAGGCCTCAACATACACAAGGGGAAAATCAAGGTCCTCAAATTCAAAACGATGAACAGCAATCCAACCACTCTTGATGGCAAAACTCTGGAAGATATAGAATCCTTCACATACCTGGGAAGCATCATCAATGAACAAGGAGGAACAGATGCAGACGTAAAGGCGAGGATTGTCAAAGCAAGGACCGCATTCCTACATCTGAAGAACATATGGAACTCAAAACAATTGTGTGTCAACCAATATCAAAGTCACAATCTTCAATATGAACATCAAGACAGTTCTACTATACGGAGCTGAAACTTGGAGAACTACAACAACCATCATCAAGAAGGTACAAGTATTTATAAGTAGTTGTTTACGTAAGACTCAATATCCGTTGGCCGGATACCATCATCAACAGCCTTCTCTGGGAGAGAACAAACCAGCTTCCAGATGAACAAGATATTAGGAAAACACGATGGAAATCGATAGGATATACATTACTCAAATCATCAAACTGCATCACGAGACAAGTCCCAACTTGGAATCCTGAAGTGAAGCGGAAAAGAGGAAGGCCAAAGAACACATTACGTCGAGAAATAGAACCAGATACGAAAGTGATGAATAGGAACTGGAAGATTTAGATGGTGGTTGGAGGTAGTCATCAGGAAACCCTGGACCCGGGTTCCGTGCTACTTGGCACTCGTCAGCAAGGTGCACCTGCAAACTTGAGGGAACTGGTGCTCCCTGGCGGGTTCGATCTCGTGTCACCCAGCTTCACAGTCAGAGACGTTACCACTGAGCTATCAGAGCCGTGACTAACGATAGCATTCGATCTGCACTGATAAGGACTAGACAAGCAAGACATTGATCACCACCCAGTGATCAATTAATTGTAATTACATCTCAGTCCTACAGGAGGTTAGTCACGGCTCGGATAGCTCAGTGGTAACGTCTCTGACTGTGAAGCTGGGTGACACGAGATCGAACCCGCCAGGGAGCACCAGTTCCCTCAAGATTGCAGGTACACCTTGCTGACGAGTGCCAAGTAGCGCGAAACCCAGGTCCAGGGTTTCCTGTTGACTACCTCCAACCACCATCTCAATCTCAATACATAGTGCCCGCAGTGTCCAGTCACCTAGACTGTTGGCCACATTGCAAAATGATCGATAGCATTCGATCTGCACTGATAAGGACTAGACAAGCAAGACATTGATCACCACCCAGTGATCAATCAATTGTAGGAACTGGAAGGAGCTGGAAAGGATTGCCCAGTACAGAGTTGTATAGAGAATGCTGATGAGTGGCCTATGCTCCTTCACGAGGAGTAACAGGCGTAACTAGAACTAGAACTAAAATTATATTGAACATAATTTGTATCACAAACTAGCCATACGTTTACGCTATTAATTTACTTCAAGTGACCATTAGAAATGTATATCTTAATGTATACCTGTTAGATTTTCTTAAAAGTTTATCTAATAGAATAAGAAACAGAAGAGATTATGAGCTGAAAAATTAAAAACGTAGAGAAAACTATGATATCATAATAACTCACCTTGATTGGGTTCCATGTCCACAGGTTTGACTACATTCTGACCATTGAGACCAATCCGACCATCTACCATCTAATTGAACTTGTAAAAAGGCAGGTGGTGAGAAATCTTCACCCAAACTTGAAGAAGCTACACAATGATATAGACCATCATCATCTGATGAGACTCCAACAATCCTGAAATATTACGGTATCAAATAAATCAATGGTAAACAAAATAACAAAATACTTGACAAAAGACTATCACGTCTTAGAAACTAGTAATGTTACAATCGATGTTCAATCGTGTTAAGTCTAATGGTGGCCTTGGACTCTAAATGTACACTCCATATTGGTCGATATTTATTTCACCTGTTGAATATTTTGTAAATGTTGTTTTCTATTTTATGGTACGATGTGGTTTGTTTGGTTGGTATATAAACATAGTATGTATCATATATAATGATTCATATCTCAGAGGCTGTGACATGCGTTCTTTACTGGCTGGTCTAGACAGCGAAGCAGGGCCAATCGGGACTCTAGGTTGTTCATTACGTGTCTACGTGTCACTGAGTCGATCGATAAATACACTGCTCCATAATCTGCATTCACACGTTACAGCAATAATTAAGCCATTGACTTGTTTCTTCGAAAGATTTGTGCACAATATTATTATTAATGAAACACAGTCTCTGTCGTAATCTATTTTTTCAGCAGTGTACAATTACAACTATATATGAGATGAAACCAAAAATAAAACCCATCAGGTTTCGAATAAGAAGCATACAATTATACAGATCTCTCTGGTTTTCAAACATTCTTCATTTCATATCGTCCTGTGACATAAACGTATCCTAAAATAAGCACTGATTTGTTCAATAAAACTATAGATTGAGACAATTAGTGACAACATTTAAAATATATTCATCAAGTTATAGCAGTACGGTATACAACAAATACTGGCAAGTGATTGGATGATGCTGCGTACTAACATGAAACGTTTTAAATAAATATGATTGAACCCCTATCGAGTACATTTCGATCACTAAAGTATTTCTGTTTTATTATCATTTATTTACCTTAAAGAGCCATTATTAACAAGTGAACGATGCCCACGAAGAATTATTTGTTGTTTATCTTTATACCATGTAATAGTTGGCTTAGGTTGACCTTCTGCAAGACATTCCATAACGACTACACTTCCAATTTGAGCTGTCATATTATTTGGATGATTAACAAGATATGGTTTACCTGAAAGGAAAATAACGGAAGAAAATTAATAGTTGTGAATTGAATTACTGACTCTGTTTTTAATGATTCACAAATTTCTAGGTTGAAAAAACCACATTTTTGGCATTTTCATGCACATAAGTGAATTTAAACTTCACCCTATTGCACAAGCAGGTGGCTATCAGGACTCAGTAGATAAGTGGATAAAGCGATGGCGTTTGAAGCGGACAGTACTGGTTTCGGGTCCCTGAGTGAACATCATCTCTGAGATACAGGTACATTCAACTTACGAGTTCCAAATAGGACAAAACGCGCATCCTGAATTCTACTTCTAGCCTCTATCCATCTTTGCTTATAACAACTGTTTTATATTTACTCAAAAAGTAAATGTTTTACTAATTAAATGAAGTATGAAATAACTTACTTTCTACAACTAAACGAAGTTCACCAAGATCTTCACCAACTGGATTTGCAGCTATACATTGATATGTTCCTGTATCTTTAGCCTAATTCAAAGAGAAAACACCAATTATTTAAAAGTAAATTATCACAACGGATAGAAATATGTTCTAATCAAACCAGTAAGGACTTAATAAAGTGTTTACTGGTACAGAAGGACATGAAGATTATTAAATTTATCGCTTTATTATCATGGATTGAGTTTTTAAATGTTGCCCAATAGATGCCAAATCAGTTACATGGAAGTTAATTGTTTATCGAAAGTCATGACAATCCTGAGTTCTATCCCTGACAAGCAAATGAATGTGTGTCACTGGTTTCCCATATAGAGAACATATATCAGTTCAGTTCTTCATGTTTGTCATTAAAATGTCAGTCAACCTGTTATGTAAAACCGTAAACCTGCCAACTTACACTTATGTATATATGAGATGGTCGTGAAGATTTGTAGCTCAGGTGGATGATTTTGATGGAGTTTTGTTCCGTGAGCTGGATGGTTTAGTCGTGGAGCTTCCATCGTTTTTCTGAACGACATAATCAGCACAAACTTCAGATAGTGTTAACAAATCTTTTTGCATTTATAGTAACATTTTGGGGTCAACTTGACCATTAAACCTTAACTACCAATCTACAGGAACGAACTGATAACATACTAAAAGTTATCCTACTCTCAAACGAAATGTTGATGCTTAGTAGGAGTAAAAATTTATTTTTAACTTGTGAAATACTTTCTACAAGTTTCATTTATTGATATTTGGCTAGTAGTCAGGTTTTTCACTAGTTCACATTACAGAATGAAGACATGTGTAACATTGAACGACTTCCTAGGACTACGACGGAGCCTCCAGAGGCCATAATGGAGCCGAAGAGTTTCCATTCAGACAGAACGTGATGGAGCTTTCTAAAAAAATTAACGTGACTGAATTATAATCATGTGATAACAAACGCTAATATCTATAAATACACATGATTATCTGTACATTTTGATTCTTAATCAACAAACACTTCTCTACCAATCTTCTGTCTTCCGATTTTGCGACTGTAGAGTTCTATACGTTCGAGTGCCGTAGTTGTATACCGTATCCTGCGTTAATCAAGCAGCGAATATAGCACACCTCTTTTAAAATGTAAACATACTGCTTCCTTAAAGAACTGAACCTAGAATAATCATATCTACCAGTGAACAATAGATATTTAGATTATCAAATCGAAATTAGATGGTTTACACTTCTAACTTCAATGGTTGAGATCATGAGTCGATTAAAGCTAGATTACCATGGAAAACTTGGAAGCACTGTACGGCCGTTTTTTCCTATTTTGAGATTCCTCAGGAGAGTGCATTTACGACCTCGCCTCAGGAGATTCGAATCCAGGACCTATCAGTCTCACGCGCGAGCTCTTAACCACTAGACCACTGACTAATGACTCATGATCTCAATCACTGAAATTACTATAATATCCACAAAACCCCTCTGAAAATGGAATAGAACTAAGGTATTTTCTATTGAATACAAAATGTATTACTTACTTTTGCCATTTTTATAACAAGACTTGAACCTCTATCTAGAATACGAAAACGACTTGAATTAGAAATTATATTTCCATCTTTTAACCAAATAACTGAATCAGCATCACCGCTAACTTCACAACGAAGACGTGTTGTATCACTTTCTCTAGGCGGTTCATCTGACTGATATACATGCACTTTAGGACGAGCTATATCAAATAAAAGTACATATACGTAAATATATATCATGTACATTCAATATTAAAAGTTCTATGAACGAAGTAATCCTATCAAACTATATAATAAGATGCAGTTGCATTTCTATATCCCCTTTTATTTGGAGCTTTCATTTGACCTAATAACTGTCGTTATATGTTATTACTTTTCACTGATTATTATTAGTTAATTATGTACTGTATATTCCCCCCCTCAACCTCTACTACTCATGGTTTTGTTGTGCTTTAATATATGATTTCGAATCCTGCGAGGCGGGGTCGTGGATGCGCACTTCTGAGGAGTCCCACAATAGGACGAAACGGCCATCTAGTGCTTCCAGATTTTCTAAGGTTGTCTAGCTTCAACTGACTCATGATCATAGCTATTTAAATTACTACGATCTCCACAAAACCCCTTCTGATTTCCTATTTGTTGTACGAAGTGATTTGGTGTTTTAAATACATTACCGTATTCATTTCAAGTGATAATTGAATTGGGTAATTAGGCAGTTACTAGTTATTGTCTTCTGATTGATTTCTTGGTTAGAAAGGGCTCGTGAACCGATAAGCAGTGAGACCTTGGTTGAGATTTATTAATCATGTATGAAAATTTATGAAATAAGTCATCAGTTTAACTGACGTGATATCGATTAGAATCTCTGGCCATAGTAAAATGAACGTTTCACAACAACAAAAACAAAAACACGCTTCCTACTACCCCTACTTAGAATTAGGTATTTAGGGTTAATATTATGAGTATAATGTTAGGGTTTTTATTGACTGACTTGTATCGGCTATTGGACAAAAGCGTTTTGTAGCATTATGGACGAATGAATTTTGCGCAAATATACAATAGGCACTATCTGATAGTATCACCTTGTCAAGCCTTGTTTGAGGATTAAGGGTTCGATGTTAAGATTTCGGGATATTGTCAGTTTACCTGTTATTTACATATTTAACAGAAAGATTTAAGCATTTGATGCGATTAATGTCATTATCTTTAGCGTATGGTGGCAAAAACAATTTTTTGTTATCATTTTCAATGTTCTAAACACTAATGGAAGATATTTCTACTGTTTGCTACACGTGATACAGAAAGTTATGTTCTCAACTTTAAATGACTTATCACAATGATATGCTTTCACATTAAAACTTACTTTTGACTTTCAATTCAAAATCGTACTCAACATTTCCAGCATCATTCTTTGCTGCACATGTATACCGACCAGCTTGATCAGTTCTTAATGGGCCAAGTACCAGTGAACCAACTCCATTTTTACTTGGATTACCTACATGAAAATAGAAATAGAAAAAATTATAAATAAGATAGAATTAATTTAATTGGGAAATTTGGTGTATAAAATAATGTCATGTGTTTGAAAAAATGTTGAGTATCTTGCGTAGATACTCAACATCCATTGGCCGGATACCAACAGCAACAGCCTCCTCTGGGAGAGAACAAACCAGCTTCCAGATGAACAAGAAATTAGGAAAACACGACGGAAATCGATAGGACATACATTATTCAAATCGTCAAACTGCATCACGAGACAAGTCCCAACTTGGAATCCTGAAGTGAAGCGGAAAAGTGGAAGGCCAAAGAACACATTACGTCGAGAAATAGAACCAGATACGAAAAGGATGAATAGGAACTGGAAGGAGCTGAAAAGCATTGCTCAGGACAGGGTTGTATAGAGAATGCTGGTGAGTGGCCTATGCTCCTTCACGAGGAGTAACAGGCGTAAGTAAGTAAGTAAGTTTGAAAAAATATATATTGAATGATTAGTATGGGGATTGTCACAGGTGAATTAACAAGTCGATATAAGATAGACTACCATGAAAAACCTGAAGTCACTGGAAGGTCGTTTCATCATAGTATGAGATTTCCCAGTAGTGAGCATTCATGATCCCACATGTGGGAATTGACTTTAGGATCTTCCCTCTCGCATGCGGATGCTTAACCTCTACTCCACTGAGCCGAGGTCCAACAGTGTTAATATCTAACTTCAATCGATCCATGATCATCTATTGTCTGAGGTGGGTAACTGTCGCACATCTGACATGGATTGGACTCAACTGATCATGGCTTCTCGCTGGGACTAAAGAAGTTAATCCTTGAATTTAGTTGCTAATGGGTACATGATTATTATCACTGCTTCCAGGTTTTCAATTGTGGTGATCGACTCGTGAATTCAACTGTTAAAACATATTGAATTTTCAGTTTCAGTTCAATCATGTTTGCTTCTTAACACAACTGTCTGTCCTGATAATAGTTCAAAGATAAGATATTCATCTTCATCATCTCGCGTTCACTCTCGAGACCAATATATCCTGGGTTCGAATCTCGCAAGACGTGATCGTTTTGTTGAGGAGTCCCATACTAGGACGAAATGGCCGTTCAGTGATTCCAGGTTTTTCATGATGGTCTAGCTTTAATTGACTCATGAGTTTAGTTATTAAAATTAATTCACTTGTTACCACCTGAATTCAGATGTAAATAAGTCATCAAGCGTAAAATTAGCCGTCTTCTAGTTAAACTTATGCCTTTCCGTATATCGTCTTGTTAGTCAGCATGGAAACTGCTGGATAGGTAACCTGTTTTTACACGTTTTTTTTTAATGAAATATGTTTTTTAATAAGATTGTACGTACTTGGAATAATATTTCCATTATGCATCCAACGAATTTCTGGTTTGGGATGTCCATTAGCAATACAACGAAATTGTATCCATCTTGCTTCATAAGCTTCAGTGGTTTGATTAGGTGTTCTTTCAAATTCCGGTTTAGCTTTAAAAATAAAAATCATTCAATAGAATTTATTGATTTATAAAATATTTTACAAAGATGACTGTTATTGATTATTGATTGGTTATTGATTATTATCACGAATAAAAATTCAATTTCACTAAAAGCAAATTATAGTCACAAGATTACATAAACATATTTTAATAAAAGGATTGTTATGAAGTATTCTCTTTTCTTTAAGATTTAAGTAGTATATTTTATCTAGATTACTTATTGCATTCGGTTCGCTTATGTAATTCCAGTTTATATAAGGTAATCACAAAACATGACAATATGATACTGTAGTGTGTAGTGACTGTGATTCATTAACCAATCACCTCCACAACCATTATTATATAAACCTTAACGGTGTTTGAAATCAGAAGGTAAAGAGATGCAGAAATTATAGTTTATCAGCAGATGATTCAGATCACAAAGCGGAGAGGTGAATGAGTGTGTCAGTAAGTCGAGTAAATAGAATTAAAATGTACATGTATATACATAGAGAAATGAATGAATCATCAAATCAATTAAGCGACTGATAGTAAGCTTAGCAGAATGAATATAAGAGTGTAAGCAGTATGCAATGCTCAAGCACACATAATTATACATTCACAACAATAATAAAGGTACAATGATATAAGATAAGTTGTTATTGTACGGATAACTTTGTTCGTTGAATAATTTAACAAATGGTCTTAACTGAATTTAATGTGAACAAACTCAATTACATGTGAGCTGTTATAAGTGAACGAGAACTCAAGTGGGAACAATCAAATGTATTACAACACAAAATTACAGAATCTTTTAGTAAAATCTAAGAACCATATAGTAAATAGTTCATCTGCAAAATGTCAATCAATTGTATCAAACTTGATTGATTTTTGTTTACCACGCCCATCACTCTCTGTTCTCTTCTTTTCGATCTTCTTAACCTTCTACCGCCAGGTATTTCACTTTCTACATTAGTAGCACACACCATAATACAATTTAGGTTGAAAATGATAGATAGCTACGTCTAGATTACCTGTATAGATCTTTATTTTTCTTTTCAATAATCTCTAATCATTCAATATCAAATGCATTTCCGTACAATATGAATTATTTGAATGCTTTCTTGTTGTACTTGAATTGTTAAACTTAGGACAAAAACATTAATCTTTTGTCCACAAATATTATACTGATCTTCACAATATCTGTACGTTTCGTATTACACACCAAGAGTATCTTCCTGATGAATAAACACTGACTTTTCCCTACTACATGAACCTTCTTAAGTGTTCGTAGGATCATTTATGACAAAACTTGACAGATAATGATCTATGGCTGATTTATTACATCAGTTTGACTATACTTTTAAAAATGATTTTTGACTAAGTCTTGTTTCGCTTATTATTAGATCATCAGAAGTTGCCGTTTATGATTAAGGTTGATTACCAAAATGCAAAATCATTATTATATAGAAACGACTCTAGAATGGATCAAGACAGTAGTAATCCATGAAGTAATGAGAAACTCAGTGAGTTTGTCCCCTAAAGACTGTCAGCGATTTTTTTTGAAAATATGAATAGAAGATAGGAGAAGTGTACTGCTACAAATAGGAGTAGGCGTATTCTCAAGTAAATAAGTCTAATATACCATACATTTTTTAAAATAACTTCACCGTTTGACAACCTAGGTTGATTCAACATAATATTGACTGTTAACTTCATCAAATCGATCAATAATAGTTATGGTTTCCAAGATCTGATTCATGACATTTTAGTATCATTTAAATACTTATTATTAACCTAACACTAATATAAATAGTTAATTATAAAACTTCTTACTGAAAATTGTCAGAAAAGTAGAATCCATAGCCATTTCTTGTCCAGGAGAACGAGCAATACACGAGTATGTTCCACCATCTGACGGCTAATTTTTTTTTAAATGAATATTAAAATAACATTTGAATTAATTAAACAATAATAGTATAACTGAATATATACAGACTTATCACCATGGAGATTTCAGATAAATAAAGATCTTAAAAAAGTAATGAGTGAATTTGACTCATTTTAAGTAAGATTAGTTCAGCGAAGAGTTCTCCCTTTATCAGCGAATTCATTTTCAAAGCTGTACAATCGCAATTATACATATACTTATTTTACAGGATGATAATAATACTGATAATAAGCTTCTATTAGACATGGTGACTATGAGGTTCAATAAACAAAGGTACTTTATCCAAAAGAATTTAAGAACATTATCTGGCGTGACTTAAAAGAGGAGGTAATGACTCAATAAAAAGTTCAATAAACGAAAACCTTATGAACACAAGTCACTTAATCAAGACAGACTGTATGTTCAAAGTCATCTATAAGGCAAGTGGAAGTTTTTCAAAGACAGTTAGATTACATCTTCTTTGCATTGCCGAAGCATTAGCTATATATCTGCAAGAACCAGAATTGTGTATGCAAAAAAGATTGGTACAACCTCTTCTTCTACCATGATTTTAATGTCTTGGAATTTTTTCCTCATACTCTTCCGCCTTTATAGCCATTTGCTTCCCCTTCCATCTGCTCCTTAAATATTCTACTCCCCCCCAATTGGTTTATTTCTGTTTCTATGATCTTCCTGATTTCATTTAATATCAATTCCAACATTTTATTTTATCATGCTGAGCTATCCTTTCTTAATGATAATTTCCCTATCTATCATTTGATCAGTACTTAAGCCATTAACAATCAAACGATTTTGGTGGAGTTTTGTTCTCTGAGCTGGATGGTTTGGTCGTGGAGCTTTTATCTACATCAATCATTCAATAATAATCAAATAGTATGATATGACATGGAGTCAGATCTAGGGCTACTACTAAACAATAACATTCTCCTGTCTTCTCAATGTAAATTGAATTCGCTTATCTCTTGCGCGTAAAACAAGATTAGTAATAGATTATCTTAAAAGAATTGAACTAAGCCATCTTTAGAATAGTCAAATTCATTAATAAAAAATATATATTTATTACTTACAATCAAGTCATGTATAGTAACTTTTGTTGGTGTTTCAAATCGTACACGATCACCTAGATGACTTGTCATTGGTTGTCCTTTAAATTCCCATATAATTTCAGGTTTTGGACGACCATCAGCTTCACAATTCATTGTAACCGATTTACCTTCATAACCGATTGTGGATATTGGCAATGAGACACGTGGTGGAACTGTAAGAATAAAAATATTGATTTATTTTTACTGCTTTTATATACATTTGATATTTACAATAAAGTACTTACAGTGAATTAAACAATGGGATAACTATTTTTTTTTGCATTAGATACCAAAGAATATAAGGTTTCAGTATGGATTTGTGGAACTGATTAATTATGTAAATTGTGACCATAAATCGATTGACGTTAGACTATCATAGCAAACCTAGAATCAATGAACGACCGTTTCGTCCACCAAACATCGATCGATTTATAATCTCAATCAAAAGCATAATAATCTCCACAACCCCATAATGAAAATTACCATGTACTCAATAGTGACTACCTTTGTGTAGGAATTCTCGGAGTTCTAGTGAGAAGCAGTGAACAAAAGAGCTAATCCGTGTTAGGTTGAGACAAGTATCTACATCAGTACTATGGAAGATGATCGCGCAATTTCGTGGACATTAACACTGATGGATGCTGGCTCAGTTGTCTAGAGGTTAAAAGTTCACGCGCTCACGATCTCGTGAGCGAACTAGTTGATTTCATACTTTTCACTATCTGTTCAAAGGTATTTAGGCGAGACTATAATTTATGGACGAGCCAATGAGATGCGTTTGGAGATTTCAATGTCATGGCGCTAATTTCAGTACCTGATGCTCACGTGAGATCGAATCACAATGGATTTTAGAGAAAACATAATAATTGAGCGGCTACAACAAATGGGACTTCTAAGAAGTTCTTTATTTGTGGCTGTGGTAATCAAATGACTTGTGGACCTTGTGCAGACTACCGTGATGATGTTATATTTCGATGTCATATGTATTGGAGGAAGAAGTTTGCTAGAAATGAATTTTTCACTCGATCCAGAATGAGACTATGGTAAATTACACCAATTGTTGTAAACTGAATGGTAAGAGTACCAGTAACACTGGCTGCAGCTGAGTACAACAATATATACGGATGATTGGAGAAGGTACAGATGTCTACATAGACTTGGTTATGTGCATCGTGTTGTTATTTACAAGCGGAATTTTGTGGACTCAACAACCGGAGTGCACACAAACAATATTGAAGCTGTGACAAGGTTGAAAGAGTTTTTGTGACCTTATCATGACTCCAGAGGCCGACAATTATGGAGCTATATACATGATTCCCTCTTCTGCACGTATTACGATTTTGGAACCTCTGAACCACTTTCTAACCTTGACAAGTTTTTGAACCATGTAAAAGGAGTGTGTCCATTTTAATTCTTTGGTTTTGTATAATATACTTTTATTGTATGCTGTTCCCTGATTGCTCAATAGTTCTCAAGGTCACTTAAGATTCGTTCAAAAGTCGTTCATAAATTATGATCCTGCCAAAATCTGCTTAGAATTTGACAAGCTGTGTATGTTCGTACAAACATATTACATAAGATAATCACTTAGAGATTTATTGCCCTGGTACGGCCGAGAGTGGGGAGAATCAACTCTCCTTCCCGAAATTCTTTCATATGGCCACGTGTATATAACCACTGTCAGGGAAGTCCTACTTAGTTCCTTCTCGTAGTGGGGGTGTTGATCATGAAATCGAGGGGACGAAAAGCGAATATCTGGTGCTTTAACCGAGTTGGTGGACACTGAGAGTCCTATTGTTGTCACCAGCTACCATAGGACTGCATCTACCTATGGATCAGACGTTTAGGTTGAAGGCCCCGGGTGTGGCCCTTTAAGAAAAACACCTGCTTTGGTTTGGGCACACGGACAGTATCCTAGCCCTCACACAAATCGAATGATTTATGTGGCGCATATCTATTTCGTGCCTCCTTGTACCAATGTTCATATGTTTAAATAAATAAATAAAAATTATACATACATACATAAGTCACAAGACTATTCATAAAACCTTACATTGATTAATATATGTTTACATATAATATGATAATAGTTCCATATCTATATTATGCTAAAAGTGTGTTTTTTTAGCCAGGAATCTTTTGCTTACCTTGAACAAATACACGAAAAGTAATACGATCTTCACCAGCTGCATTCTTAGCGATACATGTGAGTTCTCCTTCATCTTCAGGCCTTAAGTTTTTACAAATAAAGTAAGTGTATTTACGTTAAGATAAACCAGATCGTAGAAATTCTAAGTAAATACATATAGCCTATGTTTCTAGAAAACTCACCTATTATTATTATCATCAGAATGGGTGTTTCTGGAGTTTATAGTAATTTTAATAGATGAATTCATCAGTCGACCTAAGATAGACCACCATTGAAAACCTGAAAGCACTAGACAACCGTTTCGTCCTAATATAGAACTCCTCATCAGCATTCATCCACAATCTCACAGGAAAGACTCAAACCCAGGACTTTCAATCTAGTGAGAAGTCATGACCAGTGGAAAACAATCCGCATCGGTTGGAGACAGTTATAAACCCCAGACAGTAGATGAAGAGTTGTACAAGATCATGGATCAATTGAAGTTAGACATTAACACGACTGGACCTCGGCTAAATGATATAGAGGTCAAGCGTTCGCATGCGGGACTGAAGGTTCTAGGTTTGAGTCCCGCATTCAGGACTGTGGATTCGTACTGCAGAGGTTTGTCATAAAACTTATTTTCAACATTTATAGTTTGAAAATTCAATATAAACTTTAAGTATGATTTCCGTAAAGGGATGATTTTGTTGGAGAACCACTGATGACTGCTGCATAATGAATTGAGGCAACTTAAAATTATGCATACATAACACCATAGAAGATAGAGTTTAAGAGTTTTACTTATGATATGCATCTTCACACTACACTCTAACTAACGAAAACTGCTTTTCCGCCGACTAAGTGGTGACTGAAGCATGAATAAATCAACACCGATGAACAAAATTTAATGAAAGCGTATTATTCTAGCTCTTTGGTGCAAAAAGAAACAGGTTTCATATACTGACTAAGTAAAGTCAAATACTTAGTTTTGGGAGATTTCAATTTTATTGAAAGAATTCAAGAATGCATTTGAGTAGTCTTAACCTAACAAAATGCGAATCTCTGAGATTGTAAGAAACTTATAGCATGTAAATAAATGGATTTTAGTAATTTTAAGCCGTTTCTACCTACCGCTTTCAACTACTACTATTATATATCATATAAAACTCTCTTATTTAAAACCACGATACTCTAAACTATAAAGAATCATTACCCATTTGTATTTTACATTTTCTTTCTTCACTTCTCTTTTGTGGCATAATATTAGTGTAGATATATAGGTTAGTCGAAATCCGTAGATTTCACTTTATAGTTAACACATTGGCTGGTAGTCTGTGATTCATGTAATGAGCTAAGCAAATTAGTTGATTCACTAAATAAATCGAATTATTTGCATTTTCATTGGACTTCAATATTTAGAGTATAAATGTAGTAAACATTATCTTTACAATAACTTACTTCAGTGAATTAAAGATAAACAGACCAGATTCTGTAGTAGTGTAATAGCTTTTAGTTCGACTAAATGTTACACCATCACGTTCCCATGTTAATGTAGGCGTTGGAGAACCACCTTCAACTTCACAATTCAATCGTAACACAGAATTCAACCGACCAGACACTTCTAAATTAGCTGGTTTAACCAATGTTGGTGGAACTAAATGGAGAAGAAGTGAATAAATAATTGAAAAATAAAAAATTCAAGTAATAGGTCTTATTTCAATATTTTCAGAAATTTATTCCTTAGTTTAATTTTATTAGCAAGAATATTTAGTAAAACATTCTCGAGCTTTTTGTAAGCAATGATGGATAGTGACTAGCAGTGGAATCCAGGACGTGAGTTTCGTCCTATTTGGGACTCGTCAGCTGGATGTAACTGTATCCGAGTTAATTTACACTCTGGAACTCGAACTCAGTACCATCCGCTTCAAACGCAATCGCGTTATCCACTCAGCTACTGAGTCCTGATAGCCACATACTTGTGCAACGGGGTGAATTTAAATTCAATTGGTATTGTTTGGCTTGTATCTTCCTATTGAGGTTTAAGACTGCAATTGATCAGTCTGTTACTGGCATATCTGTATATTGTGCGTATGCCTCGATACTACCTTAATAACAGACTGATCAATTGCAGTCTTAAACCACTATGGGGAGATACAAGCCAAACAATACCAACTGAAACATTCTCGAGTCTAAAACTTCTAACTTCCATTTTATACTACTTATAAAATATTAAAGTAGGATTACGTTTTACCTCTCAATATCCGGAAGTCATTATAATTTGTATGTAGGAAATATAATTATGTTAATGTATTCAAAAATTAAATGGTTTTGTAACAAAAAAGTGATGGTAAACTTACTTAAAACTTCTAAACTGACAACGGCATTCTGAAAACCAGCTTCATTATTTGCTGAGCAACGATAACGACCAGCATGTTCTGAACGTACTTTTTCAAGTAAAAGACCCTGAATGAATAATGAAGAATTAATCAGAGTAAGTTATTGTTTTATTAAAGTTGTGATGGTTTTTGCGAATTTCAATTGTTGGAACAAGGATGCTTTTTGGAGACGAAACTGATTTTAATAACTACCTAAGAAGATTTAAGAGTTATTCATCCATGACTAATGATGATCATTGAGTAATGAACAATGTCATATGTCTTTGATCCGTACTGTTGTAAAATATAACAGGAATGTTTTTTTCGAAATGGTAGGAGTGGAGACAAAATAACGAAATAAGGATTTCGTAGTATAAATTCTAAGTATCAATGTTTGATTTTTATTAGGTTTTTTCCATGTGGATCACTATAATTATGGTGAATACATCTTTTTCAGGTGTAAGATTTGGGTTGAATGTACTTTATATGAAAACGTGGATCGAGGTTTCATGCTGTTTCGCATTTGAAATCTTGAGGAAACTGATCCTCAATAGTGGATGCGGCCCCTTGTCGCTCAGCTTCATAATCAGAGACACCACCACTGTGTTATTTGAGTCACAAATGACTTCCTGTAGTCACAATTGATTGGTCACTGAGTAGTGATTAATGTCATGTATGTGAAGTTCATAGCGCTTATCGAATTCCATGGACCAATTTTTCAGGGAATATTTAAAATATTACCTTGACAGCCGAAAAAGATCTATGTCTCAGCATATAATCCTTTACATGGAATACATTCTTTTTCAAAAGAATAAACAATACGCTGTTGGACGGTTAGTTAAAATTTTATATATCTGTTGACTACCTCCAACCAACAACTAATCTCAACATAGTGCACGCGATATCGGCTAGTGGCCACATCGTAACTTGGTCGATAGCATTCGATCTACACTAAGAAGAACTTGACATATATAACATTGATCATCACCCAGTGATCAACTAATTGTGAAAAATAACTTCATCCGTACTTAAAAACATTATTATTATTATTATTATTATTATTATTATTATTATTATGGAGCATTATAGTTATGTAAATATGACACACTTGTTCCGGAAGTAACCGAAATACACCAGGTTGATCAGTTGTGATTAATTGACCAGACGGTAAAAGCCATTGAATACGTATTGGTTGTGTACCACTTGTTCTACATGGTAATAAAATTTGTTCATTTTCTCTAGCCAAAATTGGTTTCATTGATGTATGTATTGTAGGTCGTTCTTAATAAATAGAAAACAAAAATATATACAAGTTTATTGTAAATGAAATAAAGAATTTCAGAACCGTTCTAATTTTAGCCTGTTTCTATAACAATCAAAGATGGATAGTGGTTAGCAGTAGAATCCAAGACACGCGTTTCTTTATATTTGGGACTCGTCAGCCGGATGTACCTGAATCTTCAATTCGAGTCCTGGAGTAAACGTCAACTCTGGGATGCAGGTACATGCGACTGACCAGTCCCGAAAAAGAAGAAACTCGCGTCCTGGATTCCACTGCTAACTACTATCCATTTTTGTTTAAAAAGCTTGCGACTTCAGGCAATATAGAGGAAGTCAGTACAGGATATATATATTACAACAAGAGACTGATCAATTGCAATCCTAAATAACAAAGGGAAGATACAAATAAAACAACACAAAGTGAATGTTTCTATATTGTTTCATCAAGTTAATATGAAAAGAAGAACAGTTTGAACAATCCATTCTAAATTACTCATTGAAAAAGCATGAGAACATAACAATCTATTTGTGAAATTATGACTGATAGTCAAGTGCAAATAACTAACACACCATTCAGACATGTTAGTTAAGAAATTAATTGATAAATAAGATTCATGAGTCAATTGAAACTAGACCATCATGCAAAAGCTGTAAGCACTTGAGACAATAGTGGACGATGGCGCAATTTCGTGGATTGGTTGAATCTAGATATTAGCACTGTTGAATGCGGGCTCAGTAGTCTAGAGGTTAAGCATTTGCGAGGGAGACGGACAGGTCCTGGGTTCGAATCTCACGGGGCGGCATCGTGGATACACACTGGTTAGAAGTCTCACAATAGGATGAAATAGTCGTCTAGTGCTTTCACGTTTTCCATGGTGGTCTGGCTTCAAATGAATCATGAATTCAACTATTTTTTGAAAAAAATTACTATTATATCCACACAAAATCCTTCTCTGATGAACTTTATTTATTCCCATATAAATAATTAGCAATGATAATAATAAGTGAATTTACCAATAATCTCAATCATAACTGATTTAGAATCCTCGCTGATTTTATTGATCGCTTTACAGACATAACGGCCACTATCTTCTTTTTTAGCATCTGTGATTGTTAAGAGTCCAGTGCTGCAAGAAAATAAATTTGTTTTGGTTTTAATCAGAAAGAGATCATTATCCAGATGTCTACTTTGAGATTAAAGAGTTATCAATGTAAGTTCCAAAACAGTTATGTTATAACTTGTGGTTTTGTACCCTTGGTTCTTTATTTTCTACCCCGTCGCCAACTGTTATAACGCTCGGTTTAACTTTGTCTAATGTTATAACGGTTGGGTTTTTACGTTTACACGTTAATTTACCTTAAACATATATCTACACTAGATTCTCTCCTAGTGTCTATTCTACACGACTTCAACATAACTCAGACCAAGAATACGTGATTAGCCTGACTACAACGTAAATATATTCCCACATCAAAACCCAACACGATCGAATAATCATTATTAAGTGGGTAATAATAAGGATAGAGGAATATATAACTCATCTGACACCTGTCAGACTATCTACATCTCTGATTAAGCAGACAACCAATCATTATCATTTTCTCTCACATATCAAGTTACCATAACAACAGTAATAGTAGATATTAATAATAGAAGTACTTATTATTAAGAATAATTAATAGTAACACTTCTATGATAAAATTTGATTATGGTTAACTTTTGTTAAACGCTTTCATTAACTTATTCAATAGATAATGTTGTTAGGACATTAACAAATCATCTATTTCTTTATTCTATTATGATCACTATCATGTCTGTATAAACGTGTACATTTGATCATATGTGATAGCCTATGCACATAACTCTCTCTAGCTTAAATGTTGATAGATTAAATATTAATAGCCTTTGTCTTTAGTATAAATTTGCCTCGGTATTCGCTCACTAAGCTTCTTTGCTTCAAATTCGTTTAATGAGCTTGTAGCTTTATTATCTGCGCTAATCGCAAATAAGCTGTAGTCACCATTTCTTATTGCCTTCTGATTGGAAACACCGTTGAAATTTATATAATAACAATTATCAATGGGATTGATTAATGAAGCTAAGCCACTATATTATTTTCTAAGGACTGTTACACTTATTATCAGAAAATCTATGCATTTAGAAAGAAAGTTTTGCAAACTTAGAAAGGGTATCTAGACCAATTTAGGATGAAAGCGAATGATTGCATGTATGAGGTATTTTTGAAATTAACTTGTTAAGATGAGAGGTTTGTAGTGTTCATTCATTCATTCTAAATAGACTTTAATTCAGTGATTGAATTTAATTTGGCATCCACTAAAATACAAAGGAAGAATTAGGAAACTGTTTCGTCTCAGTATAGAATTCTTCGACAGTATTCCTGTGACTTTGAAAAGGATCAAATTCAGGACCTTTATGGATTGAAGAGAGCCTACTACCATAGCTCTTCTAAGTTGGAATTCAATAGTTCACATTCCCACTTTCTGTTAGCCTGAGACATAAGGAAGCCATCATCGATTACGACCGATGATAATAATCTCAGTGATAAGGATTCAAGTATTTAGATCTATGTTAAAGTCCTAGGTACACACCACTGAGGAGTTCCATACTGAGATGAGGTATATCTAAAGCTTATTTCTCAGAAACTCGGCTTGTAGTTCTTCTACGGTTACTGTCGATCCAATGTCCAGATAAAGGAGGAGAGCTGAGCATGAAGTTAGCAACCCCATCCCGTTATAATACAAGTTTTCTAGAAACTACCAACTAGAATAATTTATTTAATCATTTAAAATCTGTCCTGGAAGTTGAACGATCTCCATTCAGATGGTATATGACGCCTCATGGTGAAATTCGAAATTCTCCGGAAGTCACAAGACCTATGTACCTTCTAATAACCAGAGCAACAATTAGCGAATGTGCATGGAATGACCGGACAAAATGAGAGACCATCTGGATCAGTCAAATAGCTGTGAAAGTGAAGAGATACTACATAACGATGACTGGAACAAGTGGAACACACTGGATGCAAGTTGGATAGAAAAGATTAGCTTTAGGACTAGCACTGCTATACTCTGGTTATGAAATAAAAGGTGTTTCGCACATACAAGGAGTTGGAATGATGTTGTGAAAAGAAGCACGAAAAATACTCATAGCATGTGTGTTACGCGAATCCAGGATTTTCAAAGCATCCTTCAAAACAAAGAAGGGGGGTTCACAACCAATGTCATCTTGTGATATGTGCTCATCAATCATAGCAACGACGTTGGTAAAGATCAAGTGGATTATGAACATCTTGGATGCAACAAGAAGATTAGGTCTTTGCATATGACCTATCTCTTCTATTCTATACACACCAACGAATTCAGCTGAAGACATCCAGTGTAGCAGTAAACTCGTCAGCAGTAGGCCTAAAAATACACAAGGGAAAAGTATGATCCCAAAAAGTAAACGAACTGAGCACCAACCAAATCACACTTGATGGCGAAACTCTGGAAGAAGTGGACACTTCCATGCACCTTGTCAGCATCATGCATGAACACCGAGGATCTGATGCAGATGTGAAGCCGTGAATCAAGAGAGTAAAGGCATGATTCCTACAGTTGAAGGATATCTGAAACTCGAAACAACTATATGCAACCCAACACCAATGTCGGAATTGTCAACTATGACGTTAACAGTTACTTTTTGTCGAGTTGAAACATGAAGAACTACTACAATCATCATCATCACCATCAAAAATGTACAGGTAACTATAAACAGTTGTCTACACAGGATGCTTCAGATCCCTTGTTCATTGGTCAAGCACCATCAACAATAACCTAGTGTGGAAGAGAACAAACTAGGTTCCATATGAGGAGGTGATTAGGGAGAGACTATGAGGTTGGTGCATAAGACATACATTACGGAAATCATCAAGCTGCATCAAGAAGTAAGCGCTTACTATCTGGAGTTGCGAAAGGAAACGGTAAAGAGGAAGGTCAGAGAACGCATTCCGTCGGGAATCGGAGGAAGATATCAGAGGAATGAATAGCACCAGGAAACGACAGTCATAGTGAGCCCAGAACAGAATTGGTTGGAGCATTCTGGTTGGCGATCTACGCTGCACGTGAGGAAATGCGTTAACAAGTAATAATTAAAGGTCAACCATATTAACTATCATTAATTTAAATCTAAACATAAATCAAAGAAGAAACTGTAAAATTGATAACATTCCTGATTCAAATATAATTTACCTGACATCCACACTTGTTCCAAGTCTAAATAATCCACCTGTTTCTCTAAACCATTCTAAAGATGGCATAGGATGTCCTTCAGCTGAACAATGTACAGTAAATGTAGCACCTTCTCTTTCACGTACTTCAGTTTTATCTAGCCTAACTAATGGGGGCACTAAAATAGATATAAAAATGTAATTAGGTAAAATAAGAAAATAATACATTGAAATGATTAGTTGTCATAACTGATATGAATAGAGTTTAAGGTGAGTCTTTGAGTTATGGACGACCTTTGGGCGACGCCACACTGATCTTGAGAGTGTTCACTTGGTAAATAGGACCACATGATGGTTATAAACCATTATGAGGAAATAGAATTATAATTTACAGTTGATGCTTAGGGTTAGGAATTACATTTAGGGTTTTCATCACGAACTGACATCAGTTATAATGCCAAAAGTCTATTTAACCGAATAGATGGGTGAATTTCGCGCCGAAATCCGAGACCTGTTAATCTTATACCTGATTGGTTCGTCCATAAATTATAGTCTCGCCGAGTTTAAAATTGTAATATCATTTACAAATAATTTTATTAAAATCAATTAATATCATAATAGAGAACTGGTCAATAGACATAACGGTGTTAGATCAAGTACTTTAATCACTAAGCTCTTATCAATCTAAATTAGTAAATAAGTGAATTAATGCTTGCAAAATATACCACAATCTAAAATGGAATATCATTGTAGTGTACACTACTTATATACACAAAAGTATTATATGACGATAGTCAGGAATAGAATGCATTTTAAAAGAAGATCGAAAACGGAATGAAATTCTAATGAAAACGCATAAACAATGAAATCTGAGACAATGGATTGATGTTTGCAACAGAAACAGTCAATTTTGATGTGATGGATTGATATTTTGCAAATTAACTATTTACTATACGGATCTCAGATTTCATTAAGATGCTCTGTAATTACATGTCAAATACATTCGATTGTCCTCACTTGTGTTCTTGTTCACTACAGTCTAAATTAAGTTAGTTCACGATTTCAATGTAGCTTGAAAAAAAAGCTGCAAAATGTATAAGGACTTTCATTTAGATATGAACAAATAGTTTTACAGTAGTTGAGCATTGAGCTAATTCATGACATCAAGGAGGAAAACCATATTTTTGATAAAGACCATGAATCAATCAATATTAGACTAATATTAAAAACCTGGAAGCACTGAATGGCCGTTTCGTTCTAGTATGGGACTCTCTAGTAGTGTGCATTCACGGTCCCGCACGCGCGATTCAAAACCAGGATTTTTGGTCTCGAGCGCGAACTCTTCACCTCTACATCACTGAGCCAACCAGCATCTAACGGTGTTAATGCCTAACTTCCATCAACACATGAATGAGAGCGCAACCATCCATCCATAGTCTGAAATATATATCTGTCTATACCCGACACGGATTGGACTCGACTAGTCAGTATTGTAGAGGTGAATCGTTCAAGCGTGAGACCAAAGGTCTTGGTTTCGAATCTTGCGTGCGAAAACGTGGTCGCGTATGCTAGGACGAAGCGGCCGTTCAGTGCTTCAAGGTTTTCAATGCTGGTCTGACATCAATCAATTCATGATCTCAATAAAGAAACTGTCAATCTCCATAACCCCATACTGATAATTTATTATTTAACGCAAAAATCACACAGTGTCTTAGTAAAATATGAAAGTCACGCATTAAATACACTATTTGCATATCTTCCATCAGTTGTCCTTTACAAACTTCATGATACTTCCAATTCTGCTGTTACTCCAATGGCTCTATGTTCTCCCTTGTATTCTCTTTAATTCAGTCTTCTTCTGCCAGGCATTCCATTTGCGATTGCGGTTACATACTACTTACATCCCTCAGCATATGTAACATACAACACACAATATTATCTAACGTGGACACTACAATCGTAGTGTCTTTATAAGTCTCAAGAAGGTTTATTTCTAACTCATCAATGAGAGTGCATCAATGAAAACAACAAGGAATCTGGCGAACTTTAAAAAGAAAAAAACACCTATGACCTAAAATGTAGCTTCTCCGTTGCCTAAGTAATAATTACTTAAAATTAGTGAAAAAGTAGTCAAAAAAACAAGTAAGAAAAAGCATGCCTATTTAAATAAAACTATCCAACTTATAACATGAAACAATCAAATCACACTTGACAGAGAAGATTTGAAAGATGTAAAAACCTTTACATATCTGGGCAGCATCATTGACGAACACGGTGGATCTGACGCAGTTGTAAAGGCGTGCATCGGCAAAGCAAGAGAAGCATATTTGCAACTGAAGCACACATGGAACTCAAAACAATTGTCTGTCAACCAACATTAAAGTAAGAATTTTCAATACAAATGTTAAGACAGTTCTACTGTATGCGGCGAAAACCTGAAGAACTACGAAAGCCATCATCCAGAAGATACAAGTGTTTATTAATAGTTGTCTACGCAAAATACTTCGGACCTGTTGGCCAGACACAATCAGCAACAACTTATTGTGTGAGAGAACAAACCAGATCCCAGTGGAGGAAGAAATGAGGAAGAAGCGTTGGAAGTGGATAGGAAACACATTGAGGAAAGCACCGAACTGAGTCACAAGTCAATTCCTCACATAAAATTCTCAAACTCAAATGAGAAGAGGCATACGAAAGAACACATTACTTCGAGAAATGGTGCCAGACATGAGAAGAGTGAATAACAATTGGATAGAACTGGAAAGGGAGGCCCAGGAGAGAGTGGGCTGGAGAATGCTGGTCGGTGGCCTATGCTTCATTGGGAGTAACAGGCGTAAGTAAGTAATTACGTAATTCAACTAATAAAATATAGTAAATTTCAATATTATCTAAAATTCTACTTACTAATAACTTCTAATTCATAAATTTTTGATATATTCCCAGCTTCATTACGTGCTAGACATTGATATTCACCCAAATCTTTACCAGTTGCTGAAATAATTTTCAATTTTTTTCCATCATCATCAAAAGTATATTTAGCTGGTGCATTATACTGAGATAATGGTGCCCCTTTATAATACCATGTAATTGTAGGTGAAGGTGATCCATAAGCTGGACATTCAAATTCAATTTCAGCACCCAAACGTACAACAAGTTTTTGACGATAACGAACAAAATCTGATGGAAATCTAGGAGCAGCTAAAGAGAATATATAAAAAATTTTATGTTACCATAAAGTTTTATAGAAAAACATTACTAGGATGAGTACAGTAAACTACTTATGTTGTACATTCTTGTGATTTGCTAAGTTGTGACATTTGCTACTAATCAATGCAATCTAGAAGTTAAGCATTCGAACTCAAGACCGAAGATCCTGGGTTTGAATCCCACGCGCGGAATCGTGGATGAGCACTTCTCAGCAGTCCCATACTAGGATGAAACGGATGTCCACTGATTCCAGATTTTCAATAGTGGTCTAACATTGATCGATTCATGATTTCAATCAAGAACTTAACAATCTCCACAACCCTACATTGATAATTTAAAATACCCATAATTGTTCAACTTTGATTTAAATTGAGAAGTGGTACCTAAGTTTGAAAAGTTGTATTAATCAAATGGTAACCCAGATGGTTTGTTATTGGAATCTATGTAAGCGGTAGTAGATGACACTTGTCCGAAATTCAATTTACAACATTTGTTCCAACAAGATTTCGGATACGAATTACTGACAACTAGCTTGAGATTAACATTCACGGTAGCATACCGATTATCCCTAAATGACTGCCTTTAGAAAACAGTATGCGCTATACTGAGTAATCTAGATTAGCAGGAAAATTACGACTTCAATGGAAAAATTCTTTCCGCCATATGAACAGACGAGTAGGAATGATCAATCGGCCTACTGATATCTGCTTACCAATAACAGATAATTGGAAACTATGACTGTCTTCACCAGCTCTATTCTTTGCCAAACAACGATATGTCCCAACTTCATCACCTGTTGGACGAACAACTGTTAGACTTTGACCTTGATCTTGTATAACAAAATAATCTCCATCCGGTGACATTAATATTGGTGAACCATCTTTAGTCCAAGTGATCTCTGCTTTTGTTTGATTAATATCATGTAGTAAACAATAGAATGTGATTGGAATGAATTCGGATGTACGATGTTCTTCTGGTGATCCATAACGTTTGATAATAACAGGTGGAACTGTATCAAAAGAAAAAAAACATACCAAGTTTATACAAAGAAAATGTTAAAACTATAAGCTGAATATTTGAAAAGATCATTTCTTAATTTTAGTCCATTACAAGTTGGATCAAATAAGACTATTGTATGGTGGAGATTTGTAGCTTATGTGAATGATTTTGATAGTTTTATTCTCTGAGCTGGATGATTTTGTCGTGCAGCTTTTATCGTTCTTCTGAACGACATCATCAGCACAAACTTCAGGTAGAAGTGCTGATGTTGATGATGAAAGATCCACGACCAAACCATTCAGCTCAAAAAACAAAACTTCATCAAGACTATTGCATATTTAAAAGGTTTAATTGGATACCTCCATGTAAGGTATTTACTACTCATTACGCAATATATTTTGAGAATTAAATTTTAAAATAAGAAGTAATGACGGTAATTCTGGTCGTTCATCACATCCTTGCAATCTTCACAGCTTTCAGTGAGACATAAACCGCTTGTACAGATCTATATTCTTCAATGAATTGTCAGGATAAACAGCTTTCCTGATAAATTTTTTCCCAAATTTCAACAGGAATTTGATATCGAGTCATCAGCAACTTATTAGCACTTTTATAGGATCCTTAACAGTCTATCACTTTATCCGTTTGTTCCCTTCGCAGACTAGGTGAACTCGTAATCGATTCAAACACAGCATATGTTGAGTACAGGAATAGGAAATAAATTAGCATCGCATATACTGAACCGGACGATATATTTCTCAGATTAAAGTATTCAGATTCGGTCTCATTTTAAGCTTGATAATATTTCAATATCTTTTTGATATTATTAATTAGAGCAATTTGACGGTCGGTAATAACTAGGAGAGAGTAAACCCTTTCATTTTTCTTTAAGGCTAGGTTAATTATCGTCTCCAAACACTAAAAATTTTGAATACCTAAAGCAATGTTAAATCTCTTACATAGATCTATTGAAAGCAAGCCTTACTTTAAAACCAATCTATCATACACGTCACACTACTATCTATTAAAGAGCACAAAATGAAACGTACTCATAAACAAAATGAACTATCCAGGACACATTGCAACACACTTACAGCACGAAAAAAATGAAGAAAAATACTTGAAAACCATCTTTCAAAAGAACAATTACCCGATCAACTTCATCAAGAAATTCCAGGCGCACGCAACATCAGAATCAAAGTGAAGTACAGAAATCAATAAAAAGATCACCCTACCATAAATAAAAGTCATATCAGAAATGACAACGAGACTACTGAAAACATTCGGAATAGGTGTTGCACACAAACCAACAAAATCCCTACAATCAATCTTATGCAAACCAAAGGATGTAATGACAAAAGAAGACAAACCAAACATCATCTACAAAATAAATTTTGCCAACTGAGAAAAACACTACATCGGACAGAGCGGACGCCTTCATTTTCGCCTGCATGAAAATCAATTAGCAGTCACATGCCATGACATGTCCTCACTTATATCAATATACGTGGACAGCATGTGAAGAAATTCGAACTCTTCACTTCTACCTGAAGTTTGTGTTGATGGTGTCCATCCAGTACTTTCCAGTCACATAGTAACTTTTACATGTTATCGAGAGAGACAATGAAAACTTCACAATTAAACCACCCAGATCAGATAACAAAATATGTCATACAATAATTCAATTACGAATTATCATTTTATGATATCCATCTAATTGTCACTTACTCAATGATTGACTGTAAACAAATATTTATAAATCATATAGACGTAACTGATTGTACTATCTGTAAAAGCCTACCATCTTATGCATCCTGTATCAGTCAGTTGTAATTAAGTCATATATAAATGACCCATTCATAAGATATGATCTAAATTACAATAAACAATGAAATCTACTCACCAATTACGGTCACATTGAATTTCTTTTCTATTGTACCTCCACCATTACTAGCTGTACAAGCATATTCTCCTTGATCAATTGGTTGTATATTTGATATTTGTAATAATTGATCACCGCTTAAAATAGCTAAACTAGATACTTGTGAATGCATATAACGTGGATCCATAAATTGTGGTTGAATTATTTCAATATCTTTTTTAAACCAGGCAAATCGTGGTCTTGGTTCACCAGTCGCTTCACAAGCTAATTGTATAGTTTCATTTTGAACAGCCTGTACGTGAATTTTTCTTGTTGGATCAATAAATTTTGGACGAACTAAAATGAGGAAATAAGAAAAAAAAGGTACAAAAAGAGAAAAAACATTACCGGTGACATTTGATTAACACCATTCCAGTAGCCTACTAGCGTTTAAAGGGATGAGAATGAGATTTTAGAATCAGAGTAATCAATAACAGTAAGATGCAAATATGTACAACGGACGATTATTATATGGAATGAAACGTATATCCTGGATTCCAAATAAATGTAATAAACAGTAATTGAAAACAATGAACACTAGGTAACAAAATTATGAATATGACAATGTCTCTGAATTAAGCAACCCTTTGTCGAACTTCTAAACTATATTATCACCCAGTAAATGATTATGAGACACCAATTTGGAACTTTGAATAACAAGTGGTGAAAATTCTACTGATGTGAACTTATTGTATCTTTTTTTATGTGGGGAAATTCCTTTAGTACCGTTCTAATATAACAATAATCCTTTGTACCACCCTTAAGATCACTTTATTACTACTAGTCCCTACAGTCATGTATATCTCCCTTATTTTCCGTTCAAATGGGATTATAAGCATGACATAGGGACAAGTGTGGTTTATGTTTGTTATCCATATTCACCTGAGTAATAATAAACAATTTCTCACACCTTGTACCGTTGTTCACCTCGACTTTATCTCCAAGTTATATTAATAATTTTAAAATGGATCTCAATTTTTTATTATTTTAAAATGGATATAAAAGCCGTTAGTGTATGCAGTGATTATATTATTAATAACAGTAAGTTTTAGTGATTATGATATCTACATCAACTGAGTTGGTTGTGAAATGAATTACGACTGCCTACCCACCGCCCACCTTAATTGGCGATGCTATTTGGTGAAGGAGCAAGTTGGAAAAAACCTAGATGAGACCAAACCAATACGTGGCACCAGTCTACGACATCGATGAAAATTGAATCGATTCATATTAACTATCTTGATTTGAGTTAGTGGTATTATCGTAGCCAATTGTTAAAGACCTTCAATGACATGGCTCTAAATCGTTCTTAGTGGCTCAGATGCATCCGCACTTTCTTTGATGCCGAATCTTGTTTATTGCCATTAAAAACGTTACTACTTGTAAAACTTTTGGATCCTTTCTAACAATTTCATCTGGCTATACAAATAGGGTGTGACAACTTGAACTGATGCACACATGTACCAGGTTGTACGCTGAGTTTGATCTAATAACTTATTCAAACGTAGTTACAGCCAGAAATCTTTTTTAAACATACCATATCTTTATATACTTGGTTGACAGAAAGTTTGCAACCTCTCTAAGAGATTGAATTTATTTGCCATTTTTCGAGATTGTTTTATGTACGAATCTGGATAAACAAACTCAATTTTATTGACAATATACTCAGATCGTCATGAATTTATTTCACTTAGTTCAGTGAAGAACAGACTAGAGAAAATCAAACTGATTTTCGACCTGGACGTGGCTGTATAGACCAGATATTCACACTACGTCAGGTTCCAGAACACAGACACACATTCAGACGCCCCACAATCTTAGTATTTCTCGACCTTAAGGCGGCATTCGACTCTGTTGATCGTAAGGTTCTATGACAGTGTTTGTCACTGAAAGGAGTACCAAAGAAGTACATTAACCTTGTGAAGGCTCTCTACTCGAACACAACTGGTAGAGTGAGAGCATATGGTGAACTGTTATCAGAATTGATTACCTCAAGTGGTGTTCGTCAGGGTTGTTCACTCTCTCCATTCTTGTTTAACTTTATCGTAGACATGCTTTTAGAGATAACACTCTCCTCATCTAAATTTCCAGGGGTTGAACTTCTACCAGGAGATTCACTTGTTGACTTAGAATATGCCGATGACATAGTTCTATTTGGTGAAGACGCTGACAAAATACAGACCACTCTGAGCAACAATGCAAGCATGTTCGGGATGCGATTCTCTCCCTCGAAATGCAAAATGTTGCTTCAGGATTGGGTTGCATCGACACTAATGATAGGGAGTGAAGTGGTTGAGCGCGTCGACCGCTTCACTTATCTTGAAAGTCTCATCAGCCCTTGTGGTCTGGTGTGTGACGAAATCTCAGCACGGATACAGAAGGCTCGACTGGCTTTTACCAAATTGCGTCATTTATGGCGTGGGCAAGACATCCGTCTATCAACCAAAGGACGAGTTTACTGCGCAGCAGTTCGTTTCGTCCTACTTTATGGCAGTGAAACATGGCCGTTAAGAGTAGAGGATATTCGTAGGTTACTAGTATTTGATCATAGGTGTCATCGAAACATTGCTCGTATATCCTGGGACTATCGAGTAAGTAACGCAGTTGTTAGGAAACGAGTACTACTTAAGGATGGCAAAGCAATTGATGAAGTAGTAAAACTTCATCAGTTGAGATGGCTGGGACACGTGTTACGTATGCCCAACCACCGACTGCCCCGATGTGCGATGCTCAGTGGTATAGGAGTACGTTAGGAGAGAGCTAGGGGCGGCCAGATCAAATCATGGCACAAGTCATGAAGTCACTGATAAGTGGACTAAGACATGTTTGTAGGTGTAGACTACCTGGTTGGGGGCCGCGAGTTGATAGCAACCGATGGTTAGAGACCTTGATTGACATGGCTCAAAATCGTTTGCAATGTCGTTTTTTTCTCTTCAAATTTATTTTACTCGATTATACTCCTTGAATAACATCTTCAAACCCTAATGTTTCCGATTACTGCTTACACTCTTACTACCTCTATCACTACCGGATTTGAATCGACAATTGTATCTGTTTGCTAATGTGGTGTGGCAACTCGCACTGATGTACGTACGTACGAAGTTCTACGTTGTTACTGATTGACTGACTTAATTCAGTTGTACTAATGAAATTAATAAAGAACATTAACTAACCAAATGACAAATAAGATCACTATCTCAGATTAACGATTTTGCAATGACTTGAAAAAAATTCAATCTATAGAATTAATATAATAAAGTTCCTTCAAGATTTCTAATGGTGAAATGATCCAAGAGCTTCAGTATACGTTATATCATTTAACTGAACTCCTAGAAATTACATCATGATGAAAACAATATAGAAAAGAAAAAGAAAAAGAAAACAAACTTACCATATATAAGTACATTAAATATTTGTGTAGATTTACCAACTTCATTCTGTGCATGACAAATATATTCACCAGCATCACGTGTTTGTACAAGAGGTACTGTTATACGACTACCATCAGTAGAAATTTGAATATCTGGTCCACTAACTATTGGCATATTATTTCTTTCCCATTTAATTTGTGGTGGAGGATCAACACCATCCATTAATGTACAATCTAATGATCTAGTTTGATTAACAAACCAATGAACTTCAGGTTGTACATTGGATGTGTCAAATGTTGGAGGGACTATGAGATATAAGTTTGGAATAGTGAAATATAAATGAATATGAAACATATATATAAATTATAAGAGAATGATCAATTCAAGTCCTAAATGACAATGGGAAGATTCAAACAACCGATACAAAATCAATTTAAATGTCACCCCATTGCACAAGCTGGTGGCTATAAGGATTCAGTAGCTAAGTAGATAATGTGATGGCATTTGAAGCAAACAGTACTAGATATAATTCCCGCAGTGAACTTTAAGATGCAAGTAGATCCGGTCGACAAGTCCTGAATTCCACTGCTTGTCACCATTCATCTTTGATACAAATAATAGTAATGATGGTAGTGATAATAATAATAAGATCTGAAACAAGTACAATCCTTTTCTTATTTTCCACGACCCGATTGCCTAATAATCTTCATGGATATATCTCCTCCCACCCACTACATTATCAAAATGCTAATTCATCTGAATTAATTTATGTGTATTTGCACTGCGGGACAATTTATAGATCACCCACTCAGCACTTTTTTTCTCCTTTAATACATATAATTTTGCGCATCACATAATCTATGATCAAACGTATGATTTTCTTATCAATCATCTTATTATTTCTTTCACCTTATGTCTGTATTATTATCCTCACAGTGTTATTGGATATCTGACCTTATTCATTTGTGTATGCACAAATAATGTTAGATTCTGATCAAAATGAGGTTTTGGCGATTATAGTAATGTGGTGCGTGCTACTTATATTGACATAATTAGCATATAATGAGAGTCAGGAATGTAATGTCTGGCAGTAGAAGATTGGGAAGATCAAGAAGGGAAGAACGGGAATAGAAAGCAATTAGTATAGAAATGCAAGAACAATGAAGTCCGAGACAATTATTGAACATTTTGCAAATTAGGTATTATAATATTGTTTTTCTATTTTACCAAGTAACTCTGTAATGTTCTAACCTGTATTATCCTTCACTACAGTAACGTTAGTGATTGAATTCATGAATCGATCTAATCGTATGATACTATTGAAAGCCTGGTAGCACTGGACAGTCGCTTCGTTCCAGTATGGAACTCCTCAGCAGTACGCGTCCACGGTCTCCCACGCGCGATTCGGGACCGGAACCTTTGGTCTCTAGCACGAAACCTTCACCTTTACACCACTGAGCCGGTCGGCATCCAACAGCGCTAATATCTAACTTCCATCGATCCATAAATAGCTGCAGAACCATTTATTCATTGTCTGAAATAGATACCTGTCTCTAAACGACACGGATTGGACTCCACTAGTCAGTGCTTCTCACTAGAACTCCAGTAGATCATCTTGAAACCAGTCACTACTCAATGGTCTAGAGGTTAAGCACTCACACATGAGGCCGAATGTACTGGGTTCGAATTTCGCATGTAGGATTGTGGACGCGCCGTTCTGTGGAGTCCTATACTAGGACTAAGCGGACATCAAATGCTCCCATGTTTTCAACAGTGATTGATCTTAGATCGATCCATGAATTTATCTTCTGAAATCTCAACAATTATTTATTCGATTATTAAAAACAAAATCATCCTTAAAATTATCCAATAATTGTTTTTGACCTATGAAAGTAGAACATGGTGAAAATTCTTTTATCTTTGTTTTAGCAAACCGAAAATGTTTGAACCAATGAAAAAACAAAACACCGGTGGTGAATGTGAAAAACAATACCCATGTTCCTAACAATTAATCAAATATATACAAAGTATTACCAATTCGATGTTTACAGAAATCTTTTTTATCATCTATAATATTCATGTGTTTAATTCTAAAACTTCTGAGCAAAAGTTAGACTTACCACGAACTCGAACACTATATTCCATGATATCCCATCCAACTGCATTACTTGCATTGCATTGATATGAACCACTGTCACTTTTTAATGTACGGAAAATAGTAAGTGATTGACGGTCCTAAAATTAATGTTTTAAAAAAACATGTTGGAAATAAAAGGATGCAAAGAGATTAGGTGACTTCAAGTGTATATTCAAAAACAAAATAGTTCACGATGATAGACCATTCAGTAGTCACCATTCTAATGTTTGCCTAGTCTTCACCATTGATTGAATTTAATCGATTTAATCCCAATGTATTCAATCAATATAATTCAACATCATGTAGACTATGTTCTGATGGTAAATAGTTAAGGAGAGTTGGAACAAATCACTGGATTCAGATCTTTTGAGAGATCTGTTACTATGTGTAGGGCTTGCACCCTCAACTTGATCAACAAAATTATCATCAAATAACATTATGGTGGTGAAATTCAACTACAAGCTGTTACAAATCTTTACAAACTGTACCATTGTAGAAGATCACAATGGGAAGTTAAAAATCGCTTTATAAAATAAACACTTAAATTTAATAGTTGAGATCATGAGTTAATTGAAGCTAGATCACAACGAAAAACCTGGAACCGCTTGAAAGCCGTTTCATCCTACTGTGGGACTCCTGAGCAGTGCATATCCACAATCCCTCATAGTGGGGTTCAAACCCAGGATCTATCAGTCTCGCACGCAAACGCTTAACCTGTAGAACACTGAGCCAGCCGGCGTCCAACCGTGTTAATTTCTAACTTTAACCAATGCACGAAATTGAGCAACACATTCATCATTGTCTTCAGTGAATTGCTATCTCACAACAGACATGGCTGAACTCCACTGGTCACTGCTTCTCAATAGAATTCCAAGAAATACCTCTTGAAGCGAGTCACCAGTGAACATATGCTGATTAATATCAGAAGAGATTATGGGGATATTATAGTCAGTTGAAGCTAAACCACCATGGAAAGTGTTGGAGTAATAGATAACTATGATTAGTAAATAAAATTCTTTCTTCTGATTGTCTTCATCTATTTATATTTAGATCAGTTTATTTGGTTAATTTATAACATTATAATTGTATTACACAAATTATTTGTCATTATTTAATATGAGTAATTATTACCTGTGATATTACTGAATGTTTGGGTAAATTATCAATTTGTCTAGATAATTTAATAACACCAGAACTATCATCATATCTACTACCTGGACGTGGTTCACCAGTACGTGTAAAGTATAATTTTGGAGTAGGTGATCCAGTAGCTGGACAAGGTAATACAAGTTCATCACCTTCACGAACTGTATATTCTGTACGTACACGTCCACGATCAATACGAGCCGGAGCTATTAACAAAATAGAATTAAATTCATAGGAAATTTAGATGCTCACATTTTATTATAATTGTATAACACTAAATAGAAAAGAATGTACTCGTGAGTTTTAGCAACGCAAAATAGAATACTCAGGTAGAGATACTACAGTGGCTTATACATTTTCAGAGATACGAGAAGTAATAATATTGTCTTCTTTCTGTTCTCTCAGTGTAACTTCTTTGGGAAATACGTGTAGGTTTGCATACACAATTGGTGGTAACATGAAAGGGATACCTATAGATCTTCGATTGTGTTAAACAACATGTTGTTTTGGCTAAGATAATCAGTTTAGTTGTAGGATATGTTCTTGTTGATGAAGTTTTTAGTTTTATACTGATTAACTCTATCAAATCATCGCTTTTGACTGTATTAACTCTATTGGAATCTTCATTACATTATAATGCACATATTCATCTCTAATCCCTCTCGTATGTATGAGTATGTCAATATATGTAATAACATTGTAAGTAGCTAATGCGAATCTAACGAAATAAAGTGAATTCATATTATTCTATACCAATCTTCGTTCTTCCCCTCTTTAAAATAATCAAAGAAACTATGTGTATAAAAGTTTGCTTAGTTTTGAACAAAAATAAAACTCTACAGTTCAAGTTTATGGCCCCCAAACGCCTTGGTACGGCCGAGAGTGGGGAGAGTCCACTCTCCCTTGAGAAATGCTCTCATATGGTCACGTGTAATAGCCTATGTCAGGGAAGTCCTACTCACTGCCTTCTCGTGGTGGGTGTGTTGTTCATGAAATTGAGAGGACGAAAAACGGATGTCCGGCGCTCTAACTGGGTTGGTGGACATAGAGAGCCACCTAGGGGAGTTGGAAAACTCTGATTCCAAAACAATGGTGCACATGGGCTCCAGTATCCTGAAGGAACAAATGGCGTATGAACCAGTCGTTGGGACGTTGCTCCACTGCCTTGTGGATCGGACCTTTAGGTCAAAGGTTCCATGTATGGTCACCTAAGAAAACCACCTGCTTCATGTTTGGGCACCGGGCAGTATCACAGCCCTCACATATATCAAATGAGATCTGTGTGGCGCATATGTATTTGGTGCCTCCTTGTACCAATATCTATGTGTTAAAATAACTAAAGGAATTATAACTAAGCTAATAAACATTTAATTATGTAACATCTTAGTTAAAGTTGAATAGCTAGAAGTAGTCCATAGAAACTCATTTATTTTCTTGCATGTTGCCTCAAGATTTATGGGTAATTCGGCTATTTCAGCCCATAATGTTTAACACTACTATCAATGATAATATTTATTGATTAACTAGAACCATGATTGATCATTTACCGAAGTGAATCAATCAAATTGATCAATCAAAGGTTATTTCATTCGAAAATTAATAAAATTTACCTCCAACTGAAACATCTGTATTTATCTCTAATTGACCATAATTATTTTTTGCAACACATCTATAACGACCAGCATCTGTTGGTTGCATAGATATTATTTCTAACTGACGATCTTGATTAATTAATCGATATCTAAATACAAAAAGGGGAAAAGTAAAACAACAATCTTTTTTATGACAGTTAAAAATGGATGAACTAATATCTGCACAACCCTATACTGATAATTATCATGTGCTCACTAGTGACTAGCTTCAAGAATGATTTCCTGGAGTTCTAATGAGAAAGTATGACTAATAGAGACCAGTCGTGTCTGCTGTGATGTAGTTACTCACTCAGGACAATGGTGGAAGATCGCGCAATATCATGGATTAGTTGGAGTTAGACGTTATCACTGTTGGATGTCGGCCGGCTCCGTAGTCCACAGGTTAAGGGATCGTGGTTGCGCATTGTTGAGGGGCCCCATATTAAGACAGAACAGCCTTCCAGTTATTCCAGTTTTTTAATGGTGGTCTAACATTGATCTATATATGACATCAATTTAAACTTAATAATCTCTACAACCTTACACTAATAATACTCAATTCATTTAAAACTATCAAAGTCAACCTTGGTATTGATACATACAAATGGCAAATATGAAAATTTTATCTATTACCAACCTATATGAAAGTTGATCAAGTGGTATACCATCCTTGAACCATTCAATTTTCGGTCGAGGATTACCAGACACAAGACATTCAAGCAGAGCACTAGCTCCTACGGTACGTTCGACACTGTATTGCAGTTGACCATCGGGATCCAGTCTGGGCCCATCTATTTAAGCATTCAAAAAAAAAAATTATAATAATATATTTAAATACAAGTCTCGGTAAATAAGTTAGTTGCTATTTGGGCTCAGTAACTCAGTGGATAAATCTGCCATTTGAAGCTAAAACGAATGAATAGGCTTAAGTTAAAGTATGAATCTCAAAAATTAGGATGCAGGTACATACAATTGATGAGTACAAAATAGGACGAGGTGTACGTGATAGATTCTACTGTTAGCAGATATGGTGAGGAATTGATTAATGTAAGAGTGACGTATGAAAATAATTTTCTACAAAATCCTACGACATATAATCACATCTTGAGAAGTAGTAATTACTTGACTTAGGCTAAACAGAGTTTTGGCATTATATCTGATGTCAGTTCGTGATGAAAACACTAAATCCAATATCTAACTTTCATCATAATTCCAATTCCCCACACTGATTTATAACCCACAGTTGGTCCTAATACTTAGGTGGACACTCTCAAGATCAATTTAGCATCACTCAAAGGTCAACCATAAATTATAGTCTCATCAAGTTATATTATGCAAAAATAACTATACTTTAATACGTAATTTTGAAGTGTCTTGTAGCAACTAATTTATAGGTTTGAATCTAAGTTCACCATTTTCGATTTGAGCAACTAGTTAACATTATCAATTCTCTTACTCAATCTCGATTAAAATTTTAATCAAAAAGAATAACATACTTTAGTGAATAAATACAAAATAGTTGAGATCATGAGTCAATTGAAGCTAGACCACCATAGAAAACTTGAAAGCACTGAATGACCGTTTTGTCCAATTTTTGGACTCCTCAGTAGCGTGCATCTACGATCCTACCTCCCTTAAGATTCGAATTCAGTTGTTCCATGATGGTCTAACTTCAATTGACTCATGATTTTAACTATTAAAATGACTATATTCTCCACAAAACTCCTTCTGATGAATAAATATACAATAATACTTACATGTTATTTTAACATCGAATGTTTTAGAAACTTGACCATATTCACTTATAACATGACATGTATAACGACCATTATCATTTTCATCAACATTAATTAATCGTAAATGTACATTATCTTCACTAATTGTAAATTTTTTATCATTTATAGATTTTCCATCTTTTGTCCATGTAATTTTAGGTAATGGATGACCAGTTGCAACACAAAATAATGCTAAATTAGATCCAAGTGCTATATTATGTTCACCTTCTTGACTTGAAAATCGTATTAATGGTGGAGCTAATAATAAAAAGAAAATAAATTTGAATAGATTTATGAAATCGTTTATATGATCTAATTACATCTTATCTTGTCGATTATGGTAAACTAGCGATCAATGCCTGTGTTTATCTTGGTTAGGGACTCTATAGCAACATTCACTAACAGCTTCGTTATAAAGGAACAACTGTGTTGTAGTAAACGAACATTGAATTGTAAAATGTCAGCAACAGCAACAAATATACAAGTTAGTCCAAATTGCATAAAAATAGACTACTGATATACTTTAGTGACCTGAAATCTGATCCCAATTCGATCGTGTGATTAATTGTTATTGAAATAGACATAACGCCAATTCTCGTGTATAATTATCGACTCAACTCGCGTTGATGAATAACGGAATCAAATAAGCCAAATACGAGAATGAATGTTTGAATACGTATGCTTTGCACATCCATTAATCTGGACAGACAATCTGTTGAACCGGAAAGACAAAAACGCTGATCACTTATACTCGGAACGAGGGATCACCGCAATTCCTGCGATGCGAAAGTAAGAACACAAGACTGGTATAAGTGAAGACTAATTAGCCCCAAACACTATGACAACGACGAATCGAATATAGTCTAAGATATACTGGTTTACATATTGATTGTACAACCATTTTGATTAATAATTAGGATTAGATCACATACATAGTTACAATAAATCACTTACTGAGCATAGTACATGTCAGGTGAATGCAAGAATATCGTATATTATACAGAAGAAAATATCATACTGGAAAAACAACCAAATACTACACTGAATGATCCTCATGTTGAATCAAAACGGATGTCATATTGAATAAAACTCATAATGAGTAATTCAATCGAAAATTGACTTTTCTTTCCATCGTATCAAACAATAGTTAATCTACTGGGTACAACTCGGGTCCTAACACAATCAAAGGGACGAAGTAAAGAAAGCGAAGAGAAGAGGGAGAAGCGAAATGACGTACAAAGGAGATGTGTGAGCCAACTTGATTTAGTCAAGCGTTAATCGATATTTATACAAACATGTGTTGAGTAAGATAAGAAATGACCACATAAAAACAATCAGGGTTGATAAGCGAATAATTACCAAAGACAAAATGTGACTCAAGAAGGTTGAATTAATTAACCTATTCGGAAGTTAGAATAATCTATGTGGGCTTAGCATAGCAACCGACACTATAATATGGTTTATGTGCTCAACAAGTTCATTCATAGTGGAATTTTAAAATTAATTTGCTTGGTTTGGCCTTTTAAGGTAATCAGTGTTTTTATTGGTTAATATTTATTGCATTCTACATATTAACTTGCTACTTATTCAAATGAATAAAACACTGGATATAATTAGCAGACTCATAACTTATATCACTAAAAAATAACGTTTTGATCTAAGTATAAGCATTTTATTGAATTTCAGTAGTTGAGATCATGAGTCAATGGAATCTAGATCGCCATGGAAAACCTCGAAGCAGTGAACAGCCGTTTCGTCCTATTGTGGGACTCCTCAGCAGTGCTCATGCACGATCTTCCCCCGTGCGATTCAAACTTAGGACCTGTCAGTCTCGCGCGCGAACGTTTAACCTCTAGACCATTGAGTGATGTGAACAATTTTATTTCCTATTTATCGTAACTCATTTATCAATCAAACGTTAGAATATCTCAGTGATAACGTCTCAGACTATAAAGCTAGGCGATGAGGATTCAAAATCAACAGGTAGCATCACAGTGAGCCTAAGATTTCAGGTACGACCTATAAACGAGTTTCAACTAGTACGAAGCATTAGTTCAAGACTTCCTGTCAAATATCTTAAACAACTCAACATAACGTACATAATATTGAGTAGCTTAGACTAGTGGCTATATTATAAACTGATCGATATAATCCTATCACAGAGTCAAAGGATTAAAAAGAGATGATATTTTTCAGTGATCAGCCAACTGTATAGGTCTATGTTATCGGCTTTAAGTTATTCTCTTTCTATACAGATCAATGATACTACCTAGTTACTTGAACCAACTTAGTTAAAACCTCTAACCTACCGACTGATAGTCAATCGTTATATTTATTAAGCCATCGCTGCACATCAGCTGAATAATCAACCATCAAAAGATATCAAACAAGAAAAACAACACGAATATATTTCCAAACATACAATTTATTTAAATGGCGATATTCAATATGATCTGTTCAGTAAACAAGAACAGATAAATATTATCTGCTATTGTGAAACCAAATCATATAACAATAGGCTAAAGTTATTACAATTGAGTGATCACTGGGTGGCGATCAATGTCACGTGTATCAAGTCCTTATTAGTGCAGATCGAATACTATCGACCAAGTTACAATGTGGCCACTAGTCTAGGTGACTCGATATTGCTTGCACTATGTTGAGATAAAGTTATTTCTATGGTAAGATCTTACCTTACAGAAATAATGAAAATCTATCATATAGTCCAATAAGAACAGCTAAGTCACAATCTATGGGATTGTTTGAACTAAATGATTTGTTCCCAAATATCTAATGAAATTTTATATCATTCCTTGAAGACAACTGTGTAAAATGACTGGTCTTTCACGAACCATTATAAATATTTATCAGAAACACTTTTGATTAAGATCATACAACGATCGATGTTAAACCTGGAAGCAATGGACGACCATTTTGTCCTAATGTGGGACTTCTCAGCAGTTCGCATCCACAATTCCGCTCGCCTGATTCGAACCCAGAAATGTTTTTGCTTAATTTATAATTTATCAAACACCGTTATATCCATAGACTGGAATCAGCATCAAACAATCAACAGAAATGCAATAATGATTACCAGCCAAGGATCAATTAATGTGATTATCTCAGTATTACAAGAGTTTAGTCATGCCCTACTTAGCTTAATGGTAACATTTATAATTACGACATGATGTTAAGTACATTTATATCCGATGAGGTAAAAAGCATTGCTGATGAACATCAGCTGGAATTTATGTTCATGGATTCCTGTCAACTACCTCCAATCATCTAACATCAATTTCATCAATCATATCAAATATTATTCTTGGTATACAATCAAAAGTATAAAAATGTTCTAACAAATAAATTATACCTTCTAATAAACGTTTAACCTTACTTATTCTGAACATTGGAGTTGATTGGTTAATTTTGATGGAGCTTTGTTCTCTGAGCCGGATGGTTTATTCGTGGAGCATTCACCGTTCTTCTGAACGACATCATCGGCACAAACGTCAGGTAAAAGTGAAGTGTTCGAACTTCTCCATATGTGTTTCACAGCTTGTTCTGTACACATCGACGTTGATTGGTTCTTATTGACCTTAATTCTGTGCTGATGATGACGTTCATAAGAACGATGAAAGCTCCATGACCAAACCATCCAGCTCAGAGAACAAAACTCCATCAAAATCATCCGCCTGAGCTACAAATCTTCTCTACCATCTTGATTGGTTAACAAATAATTTTAAGCGAATGGCTTATTATCGACAGTTAACGACAGTTTACACTTAATCCTATGTAAAGTATTCTTTACCTATTAAAGCTTATAGAATCTGACTTGTTAACGAAATATGGATAATACGATATGACATAATGAATCAATCAGAAAACTCAATAGTCAGTTATACTGTAATGTGTGCGACATTTACTGGCATAGTATGTAGAATCAATGGAAAGTGAAATGCCTGAAAGTAGATGGGAGGATGAAATGAAGAGAACAGGAATGAAAACGGAGAGAAATTATAATAACAACAGAATTGAAAGAATCATGAAGTATGTATAGGACAACTGAAGGAAGATATGCAAATGATGTATTCAATGTATGGTTTTCATATTTTATAAATGCACTCTATAATTTTGCACTGAACAGTAAATTGGTTCCCTCTATCCCGTAGTTTTTCACTACAATACATTAAGTCACAAATCATCAAAAATACAGTATCACAAAAAACCTATCTGGGCAGCATCATTGATGAGCACGATGGATCTGATGCAGATGTGAAGGTGCGCATCGGCAAAGCGAGAGAAACATATTTACAACTAAAGAACATCTAGAACTCAAAACAACAGTCAACCAACACCAAGGTCAGAATTTTCAACACAAATGTCAAGACAGTTCTACTGTTTACTGGGGCGGAAACTTGGAGATCTACGAAAGCCATCATCCAGAAGATACAACTGTTTATTGATAGCTGTTCACGCATAATACTTCAAATTCGTTTAACAGACACTATCAGCAATCAATCTACTATAGGAGAGGACAAAGCAGATCCCAGTGGAGGAAGAAATCAGGGAGAAGCGTTAGAAGTGGATAGGACACACATTGAGGGAAGCACCGGACTGCGTCACATGTCAGGCCCTCACTTGAAATTCCCAGGGCCAAATGAGGAGTAGAGGAATACCAAAGAACACATTACGCTGACAAATGGAGACATACATGAGAAAAATGAACAACAACCGGATATAACTAAAAAGGAATTCCCAAGCGAGGGTGGGTTGGAGAATGCTGGTCGGTGGCCTATGCTCCATTGGGATTAACAGGCGTAAGTAAGTTCTAACCAATCTCCAAGTTATCTGAAACTATCTAGTCAAAACTTTACAAGCAAAGATAGATAGTGACTAGCAACGGAATCAAGGATGCATGTTTCATCCTATTTGAGATTTGTCAGCTGGATGTACCTTCATCTCAGAGTTGATGTTCACTCTGTCATTATGATACCTGCAAACTGATTATTAAACGAATCAAATTATCTATGTTGACTAAGCGATTTGATAAGAAACATAACCATCCCAATACTCTCTAAATTTATTAACATTTTAGATAATATCAGTTGATGTTAATAAAAATTAACTTCAAATTGGATAATTTACATAAGTCTTTGATTCATTTTATGCTGTATCCTTAATGTCAATCATAAATAACTTATGCAAATATCCACTGTACATTCATTTGTATTGTCTGTTTCAATTAATTATGGAATGCA